GCCATTTTATGCAGGTCATGGGGGTTATTCGTCCATACTTTGCATGCTGGTCAGTGCAGGCTGGTGAAGGTGTGAAGCAAATACGTAGGGACACAGTACAACTATGGATCTTACTCCACCGCCAGTCACTGCCCACCACGTCGCCCCGCAGCCAGAAATTACGACCTGGCATGCACGGTGGTCATTCATCCAAGTGTCACCTAGGCGGCTCAACTCTGCTTAGCTTCTGAGATCTGGCGAGATCGGGTGCATTCTGCGTCATTTGGTCACATGTGTGCTCTGGTGCTGTGGGAGCTGTGACGATTTGAAATCTGACCTCCGTCGACTGGGTCCATTATCCCTCCGCGGTCAATGAGATGAGAGCTCAAAGGTAAAGGTGCAGCCCTACATGTGCCTGCTCATGCCCCTGCTGGAAAAAGGGCCTCGACTAGTGAGAGTATGTTCGCCTACTCTTCCGCACTGTCCAGCCGTCTTTGGAGAGGTGGAAGTTACCCAACCTGCCGATTGACTGTGGTGTACCCATTAATACTGATTATCTGGACAGAGGCCAAGGGTGAGAAGGGGCGAGGTGGAATTCAAGAAACTTTGCCGCATTCTTTCAATTGACACACCGGTAAATTGAGTTCGAACCGTTGACCTCTGGGGTTGCAAGTCCAGTGTGCTGACCATTACACCTACAGCTGCATCCCTTTAGGTATATAAACTGCATACCAAGAGATAACCACTTGCTGGAATGTAACTAGTGCCCCTTGTAACATTGGATACGTGTGTCCCTGGCACGTGGCAGTTAAATTAATGACATTATTAACCGTGGATCTCCGAACACCGATAATCCTGCCCGAAGCCGGGTTGAGCGAGGAGGACACTGCGACTTCTTTGCAGATTGCTCTCGCACCCACAATCTGTGTCAACAATTCCCCGCGCCAGGGCACGGACGCCGCCTCCCAGCCCACTGTTGAACAAAACAACTGCTCAGCAACGTCACATTACGCGATCGCGGTGCCAACATAACAGCGTTTACGGGGTGGTTGTTTTTGTTTCTCTCTCTCTTTATATTATCACAGATGCGGAGTACAGGCCTGAAGAATTATCATCATCATCATCATCGGCTGTGATCACATCCAACGATGGACCAAGGCCCAGGACCGGTTCAGATAATCGTCACCGGTGTTGGCCGTGAGCGGGAATCGATCTCGGGTCTCCGGGTTCGTAGCGGAGCGCGCTGACCACCGCTGTCCACTAGCCCCTGCACAAAAGCTGGCTTTGTTTAATCGCTCCGTCTCCTCTGTGGCCTTTCGGGACGCGTGATTCCACACGGTTACATTTGGAATCGGCAAAAACATCCCAAATCAGTAGGATCCTCGTGAATGATCATTTTGAGACTCAAATTGCCATGAATATCGAAATTACATTATTACACTGGTCAACAAGCTTTTTCTGGCATAAGGTATTCCAACGGTGTTAAGGTAATTTTGGGGTGCTGATTCCAAATCTGGCATCAGGTTTTTGAGATATAAAATATAGCATTTTCAATAAAAACTGCAGAAGAAAAAAATTAAATAAATGTGGATATCTACATAAAATGATATTATAAACACACTATCCTAAAAATACAGCACCATATTTTAACACTAAAGCAGTCACTGACTCGCAACAACTTGCAATCATAAGTGACAGAGTTTAATTTCGGGTAAAATCAATGAAAATGGGGTATGCCGATAGCATAAAAATGCGATGTGATAGAGCAAATCTGAGATCAGATTTGGAATCAGCACCCTGAAATTAGTCCAGGCCAGAAAAAAAAGTTATTTTTGTTGTTGACCAGTGTTATGACTGAGTCTGTATAGTAGCATATAGACAATGTAAAACTGCATCCATCGCTTTTCTAACCCTGTAACTGTTTATGATGCAGAAATTAACAATATAGGAACTAACGTCCTGGAAACAGGGCCCACGATACAGCACAACACACAGATTCTCCCCGGCTACACCATAACGATAGATTTTAGTTGTCTCAATTGGATTTTTTTAGCACGCTTAAAGTAAGGCTGAATTTGTACAGTACAAATCATTAATGTTTTTTTCTTCTTCTAAGTAACCTTGTGAGGGCCTATTGAGATTCAATCTGTTTTGCGAACCGGACTTGTACGGCTGAAATCAAAACGTCAGCTCTTATTTGTGAACTGTGCTTATAGGACGTACATACTTGAGAACAGTGGTTCTTAACATTTTCTGCAACCTTGCACCCCTTTGGAAATATTCTTCGTTCTTTCGGTGACTTTACCGAAAGAATCAAGAATATGAATATTAATCCTTGCAGTTACGAAAGCTTTAAATATTTTTTTATGTTAATAAATACATAGGGTTTGATTAAAGAAAGTAGTTAAATTGTGTTTCGATTATTAACCTTTAAAATAAATAAATCTGGAAATGTCTCACACACCCAGAAAGGGACTCTCCCACCCCCAGGGGGTGCAGAGTGCACCCCAGGTTAAGAACCACTTGCAGTTTAGAACTTGGTAATTGGGGTGGACAAAAAGCATCGCTTCCGCTCTTCATAAGCTGAATTATCACAATTCAGGCACACGATTAAATTCAACAATTGCATTTCGTCTAACATTGCAATGAATGGTAGCACCTCCAGTGACTGCATCGATTGACATTAACTCGATACATAACATATACCAATCAATCCAATACGTCTGTTTTACTTAACACGATTTGATTCATGCATTGTGAGTTTAAGAATCGGTGAAATCCACCCCCTATTGTATACTGTACTGTCCACGGCTATAGGAAACTGTGTAAATACTTGCTCGATTGGAGCCATACACACGCACACGGGTTACTTTTTAAAGCACATTCTAATAATCCAACGCTGGACTCGCCCTGATCTCGTCTAACTCGTTACGAGGCTTGATTGCACTGTCAGTCGCGTGCAGCATGGCCTCGGCAGCACACGTTGCGTGCAAACACACGGTGGCCTCATTCGGACCCCAGCCAACTGCAGGGCAATAAACATCACCATTTAGCCATTCCCTATCAACTGCTGGATGAAGGCCTCCCACACAAGCAATCGTTTATCACGGTTCTGCGATGCAACAGACGTGTTTATATAAATGTACGCCGACAGATGCGTTTTCAATCCACTGCTGGTTGAGGGCCTCCCCCACACCAATTGGGATATTTGGCCAAACTTCAGAATGCTGTTTTGTGGGTTGAAATCAGTGAGCATATGCATGGCACACAATAATGGATTTCCTGTACTTCCCTCTTCTACCCATCATGTAGCCCCAGAAATAGTCTACATCACCAGCTATAAATGGCAGCCGGCCACCCAAAAACTATCCAGGCTCAACGTTGCTGAGCTTACAAGAGCTGACGGGATGGGGCGTATTCCAGGTGATTGCCTTTGGTGTTATCAATACTGCAATAATAACGCGTATGTACACCAGGGTTTGGTGAACATATTTTAAGAATAGGCTCATAAAGCAGAGGTGGGACAAAGTCATTGTTATGCAAGTCCAAGTCGAGTCTGAAGTCATCAAATTCATGACTCGAGTCTGACTCGAGTCCAAGTCACATGACTCGAGTCCACACCTCAGAGGTGGGACAAAGTCATTGTTATGCAAGTCCAAGTCGAGTCTGAAGTCATCAAATTCATGACTCGAGTCTGACTCGAGTCCAAGTCACATGACTCGAGTCCACACCTCAGAGGTGGGACAAAGTCATTGTTATGCAAGTCCAAGTCGAGTCTGAAGTCATCAAATTCATGACTCGAGTCTGACTCGAGTCCAAGTCACATGACTCGAGTCCACACCTCAGAGGTGGGACAAAGTCATTGTTATGCAAGTCCAAGTCGAGTCTGAAGTCATCAAATTCATGACTCGAGTCTGACTCGAGTCCAAGTCACATGACTCGAGTCCACACCTCTGTCATAAAGTAAACGGTACTCAAAGGCACAAAAAATTATACGCTCCACTTTTAATGTTAACACACCTCAACTGATGCTACGATTGACACATTTAGACAGTGGCCTCACCGACACAATCCGAAATTTAGGAATATCCGTGTCAGATTTGTTCTGCGGCTATTCACCAATGGAAAGGGTGGCTCGCGAGTTGTGCTACGAACCCTGCCACCCGAGTTCGATTCTCGACCGTGGCCAATATCGTTGGCAATCAATATCAGAACTGCTCCCGCCTGATTCTTCGCCAATCCGCGCCGACCAACACGACGTGTGGAGGGGCCTTCATCCCATGGTGGATCGAGAATGACTAACGCATTATCGCCAATTATTTCGTAACTCATGGTCAAGAATGCAACCGTCTTCACGAAACAAATAGCATGGAGGCTGGACGGACAGTGCAAGACAATGCACCAGAGGGCTTTGCTTAGCTCGATGCACCAATCACAGCGATGAGCCGCCGCTGGCCAAATCTCCCAGCTGCTGGAATCTCCTCGGAGCCACGTGTCCTCACGCAGGGGCTTGGTTTTCCACAGCTGACTGTGGCAGACGCAGTGTTTTTCCATTCACTAAGCTGGATGATTTATTATATTACAGTATTATTGAAAAGAAAATCCACGTGCTTTCGTTACTGAAATGTTGACGTCCTTCCAAACGATTCTCTTGCACTCGTCGCGGTGGAGAAATGTGGCTCAGTCTCAAAAGTGTCTCACTTGGTAACGCCACTGCAATTGTGCTCACAATAACACGCTTATTATGTCGGCTTATTAACTTATTCGCCTGCAAAGTCTGCCAAAAGGTTACAATATTTTTTCATTAAATACTGTGGTGCAAGGGAAGGTAGGCTTCCAGTACGGTGCAGTATCTTCTTGGTTCTTTCGGTAAAGTCACGTAGAAGGGAAAACTTTACCGAAAGAACCAAGAAGATGAATCCCTGCAGTCACGAAAGCTTTAAATCGAAATTTACAGTGCAGTAGTTTCACTCACACCAATACGGAGATAACCCGTGCAAGTAAGTAACACAAGCCACTGGTCATAATTCGTTAAGTCATTTATTCTACCATAACCATGCAAGGCCGAGAACACCAACACCGGTCAATAAAAAGTACAAGATAGTACGTTCCCAGGTAATAAACAGTACCTTAACGTTGCCTCTTTTTGCTACCATCAAAGATTAGCTTCAGATCCAAACAAGGACTACATCACCTTTTGCTAAGGATTAAAGTAAACGATCGGCCATCATCAAGAGAATTAATGAATAAAAGAACGAAGCAATGAAGATACTGTAAAGACGTACAGCAGCACACAAAACAGTAATGTAATTGGAAAATTCTGCTACGTCATGTACGCAATCAAAAAAACAATAAAATGTAAACAGATCCTATGTTGTTACATGCGATTCTAATTTAAATGTTAACATCTTAGTGGAATAAAATAAAGGATAAGACCTGGAAAACCACCAGGCAAAAACTAAACTTTGAAATCTGTTACACTATAAACCAGGGCTACTCACCAAACAAGTCCCCTACCACAAAATAAAAATCATGTAAAGGTGTCAACTACAAAGTTGGAACGCAATTTATTTCACTTTGCATCCTCAACAAATCATTAAACTGGACTAAAGTAATTGCACACAAATAGTGTCAAGATTTTTTTTTATTGCCAAGGGTTTTTCGACAACAGGTCCAAAGACCCGTCATTTCTCCTCGGCTACGTAACTCCCGACAAAGTGTGCAAGCTACGCATTTGTCAGCGCACGTCCTTAAATGTCAACGCCTGTGCCATTTTGTGGCACATGCAACACCCCTCCCCCACCCTCAGTTTTACACCACCAGCCTGAATGGTCCCCGTTTCAAAATGATTAACATCACAGATGAGAAGGTACCCCACACATCACGATACGATTTTGTATTTTAAACCACGTGTTCATTTTAGAAAGTGCTTGTTTTCATTTTGAGCGGACCCACAATTCTCCAATGTCGAAGGCTTCATAAAACTAGTCTGCTAACTACTGACAAAGATGACACCGTAACACAAAGTAGAAAAGAGATATAACCAATGGACGATGTGCCGAACGTGATCTTTACTACGAGATGACAATTCTGCACAAGGTTGCCAACCGATGGCACCTTTTTGGACGTATCAGAGCAGCCCACACATCTGTTTGTGATAAGGCCTTGTCATGCAAATAGCACGCCAGGCATACCCTTGTCAACTTCGCGTGTTCGCACTTGCGCATGCATTTCATTGCCCAAATCAAATCACCTGGAGCGAGGTTTACAGCACACACAGATGTTGCACCACTTATAAACCGACAGTTTTATTGCAACAAGATTAGCGTCAATACTGAAGAGATGTCATGCTTAATTTAGTGCTCGTGTTTTCACATTTAGAAAAAGAAAACGTCATCAGTTTTTATAAGCAACGAATTTTACAATTGCTGTTTCCGTGGAACCGCAGCCAGCGCCACGATGCTCGACAGAAGCACGTCACAGTGGTCATCGCGCACCCCGTCACACACTTGCAGCCAAAACCTTACTTCTGTTTAAGGAACGTCAGGAGCCAACACCAACAGCATCACCAGTAATAACTAAACAATGGCACTATACACTGCTACCTTTGGTTCTTACGTTCCATTTTCAACATCGCTACATATTATAAACAAACATTACAAGGCACATTGTTTATGCATAGGATTCGTTATTATCCTCCCATTGTTTTAAGCTTCCTTTTATATATAGTTCTCTTTTTACTCAAGGTACTAATACTACTGTAATAAGTAAATGACTGTGAGCCACTTTTGGAATGCAAATTAAAGCCCAGAGAACTCTCTCATGTTTCATTTGTTTTTTCACAAAAATCCGTAAGGAACATCAAAGTATCTGACCGACACGTGTAAAACAATAACACTTGCCACTCGAGGCGACCTAGCAACCCCATTCATCGCTATAACCTGCACGTCTGTCTGTCACCTCGGGAGCCGCCACCCCATTCTGCTGCAGGCTGCCGCCTCCGCATCCATCACGGAGCGGCGCTCTGGTCGAGCTGCCCGCCTCGGGCCTGTGTCTTGGCTTGCGAGGCGGCAGTGCCACTTCAGACGGCCTCACTTGGAGCTGCTCTTCAGCCGAGCCATCTGCTCTCTTGTGTCTTTCTTCTGAGTGTTTTCCCCGGTGACCCTCGGTCACCTTAGGGCGAATTTCTTCAGTTCGTTTCGTGTGCTGGTTGCCGTCCAGGGCACGCTGCGGCTCACCAGGCCCATTCTGTGGCTTGCCCTCAGTGGCAGTGCTCGTTTGGGACTCGGGCTTCATCTGACCTTGGCTTCTGGGCCGGTCTCTTGGCGGATTTCTTTGGTAGCCGGAGCCAGGCAAGCCGTCCTGCCTTGGGGGAACGTTTCTTGCATTCCGTCTAAACCCTCTGCTGGATTGAGATGTCCTCCCTCCCCGACCACCATATTGAGATCCATTGGGCTCCTGGAAGGGAGGTGCAGAGCCAGGCTTCCTATCAGTGGACTGGGCAGCCTTGAAAAGACAAAAAAAAAGTCAATTAAAAATTTAAATTAAGAAAACCATCTTATAAGCTTCTTTTACATTTTAAAAATAAAGAATATATGGAGGGAGTCAGAGGAAAACATTGCATTGTGTCCAACAATTAATAAAGCCGACGATATTATCTGACAATTAGGTATAAAAATGAAACTCAAGCATTACCCCTTGTGTCGTGACGGAGCCATCGTTTCCGGTCGCTGGCCGAGAGGCATGGGGTCTACTACCCAGGGGCAGACTAAGTAGCGGCATTACTGGGGCAGAAACATCACTTGGGGTGGTCACGGGAGTTACACTGGACTGCGAGGACACAGAGTCACTCCTGGGCTTAGACGCAACGCTGTTCTTTGGCGGACCCACTGCGAACAAGAGCACACAAGGTCATTAATGCCAATGCAATGAGAAAGAAACAATTCCAATGCGTAACGTTGAGTTATGGCAATTGCCGTTTGTAGGATGCCACAAAATGTAACGTACCTTCGCCAAAGGTTTGAAGAGCCAGCTTCATGCTTTCACAGTCGCATACAAATCGAAGGGTCTTGCTCAACTCTTCATCGTACTTCCTCTCGCTGACAAATTGCTGTGAAGGAAAAACATACGTGGAGTTTAGCACCAAACGATCGTGAACCGATCGTAAAACAACAGCAGTTTGTAAAAATCAAGAGAAAACAGCTGCTCTACAGCAGTTCTTTAAACTCCAATATATTATTTATCCCAATAAATAAAACAAACTATGAGGTTGTAACACAATTGACATGAATAATCAAGCAGTAAAAACTAATCTGCAATATACCCTTGTGAAAAGTCTCCAATTGCTCAATATACAGTTTTCTAAGCACACAGTCCAAGTAATGACGAAGGGAAATGTCATCATACCTTTATGTCGGCTCTGAGGCTTGCAAGCTGAGCCTCCGACATGCGCACAGAGTTATCCGTGCGTCGTTTCAGGTCTCCCGCCTTCTCCTGCCTGGCCTTCAACAATCTTACTGTGCACTCACGGAAAAGCAACTTCATCAGAGAAGTGTACTTCGTAGGGCCACCAGTCACTTGTAAATAATTATTCGCGGGGCACTGCTATTTTCACTAAATTAAATGCAGAACTTTACAATGTACAATGTCTACCTTTAGGAGAGTTATAAAAAACATGTCCTAATTTTTACAAGGATAAAAAATAGAATGTTTTCCACTATGTGTAGTATTTGACAATGGTGTGCAAGGATAATCTGCGACCTATTAATGAAACCGTTTTTTTTGTTCTTTTGTTTCGTGTTCGAATAATGCTGACAAGTTATGAATAAACATATTTGAAAAGTCTTCACCTATTGACCTCTATGCACATAACGTTTACACATTTATATCATGGTTTACAGATATACTTATTACAGGTGAGACACATTTGGGTATTATAAATACAATGGCAGAGTCAACAAATCACCGTTCACTTTGTTTTAAAATCAATGTTATATTCTGCTGTACTGAATGTGTGGGTTTTCGCCTGGTCTGAACACCGAATGAAACAAACCGCTGCCAATCACAGAGATGTTTTCTGGACAATATTAGAACAGTCTAAATGTGGGTATATGCAATAAGCACTACTAACAGCAAGACAAACACAGAAGTCACATTACAACTGTTTGTAAGTACTGTGCTATGACAAGAGAGGTGGTCCTTGTAAGAATTTTAAGGCCAGGTTATATATATCGCACTGGTTTTAAAAGGAGGCCATGTAATGTTCTTTGGCCTTTTATTTTTTCATTTTGCCACAGAAAACGAACTTTGAAACGCGATGCGATAAATCACTGTTTCAAGCAACCGTTATCTCTTGGGGGCAGCACCACAGACACAGCGAATTGGGTTTCCACAAACCCTAGAGCAGATTACGAAAAAACAAAAATGGCCAAGTGAACTCACTTGCTTCTTCTTTCACCTTGTCAATGTCTGACAGGAGAGAGACTTCCCGATCCATCAGGCTGAGAACGCGGCACAAGAAACATTCAGTCAGTGAAATTGAACAAATTGAAAGCCATGAAATTATATATATATATATATTTGTATGGGTGAAAAATAAGCACCGTTTAAAATGAAATTTTAATCTTCAACCATTTACGTATATTTTTGTAGAGATTACAAAATGTATCGCATAGAAAGAAAAATATCAATTCAGATGAATGAACCATGGATTACAGCCCTTTTCTCAATCCACTGCCGTATAAAGCCTTGCCACCCCATTTCAGTCACAGGGGTTGTTTGGCCATACTTGACCACCCTGGCCTGTGGGGGTTACTAAAGCAGGGGTGGGGGTATGATGCCCAGCTCCGATATCACTCACGACTGACGTTAACCATGGCTGAGAATCGAATTCAGGTCGACAGATCCACTGCAAGCGCGCAAACTACAGCGTCACTGCTGCTGCCCCCCAAGCAAATGGATTAATGGTAAATTATGGAGTTGGGTCTCATGCATCCTTCCACTCTGTAGACTTCTCCCACTCTGTGGACGTGATTTCAGTGCATAGTGCTGCAAATGCTTTATGTGATTGCTAGGTAAAAGGTATAGATTCAATAATTTACATTTGGAAAAAGGAAACTACGTAAGAATATCTTGGATTTGAAGCTTTCGTGACTGCAGGAATTCATACTCTTTGGTTCTTTCGGTCTTTACCGAAAGAACCAAAAAGAGTACGTAAGAATAATTTTGCGAGGTGAAAAAGTTCCAATAACCATTATTCTAACAACAAAACGTCTGAATGCCTTCATGGTAGACTGTGATGGAGTGGAAAATTGTCAAATTCCAGCTGGAAATATTCTTAATATCAATTCACAACAGTGAAAACCAAACCCAAAAGCATTACAGTGAGCAAATGGCCAATTGAAGGGGGAAAATAAACTGAAAATTATCAATCTAAAGCAACAAACGCCTGTTATAAAAGGCAGCCAATAGTGAATGACTTGCGAGAACGCTATAAAGTTACACTGCCAAAAGCAGATATTTAGTTATACTGGAAACACTGTTTGCTGTCATCATAACACAAACTCGCCAGTGTTTCTCACTGTACTCTTCAAACATTAAAAAAGTGGTGGCCTCCACTCTGCAGAAAAGCATGACAAACATCCTATTAACCCAGTGCAGAATCAATAAGCGTAAACCTCTGAAAATTCCTATCTTCAGCAAATAAGAGCTTTGAATAAATAACTGCTTTCATCTCTTTTAAATAATAACAAGCTATTATTTATTTTAAAGAATTCCATTATTCACCTTTACAATGGATTCAGATATGTCACATATAGCTTCTTTAACAGACTGTTGAGGCAAATGCTGTTAAAGAGCGCCTATGAAGGCCGACACGGCACACGAGGGGAGTGAATGGCCAACACCACGCTCGGCCGCCTTTGTCTCCCTAGTGGTCATGTTTACACATTGTACCAGGAACTCATTTGAAGTTGAGTCGACCTAGAGGAGGGCCCAGGATCGGTTCAGATAATAGTCACTAGTGTTGACCATGAGCGGGTATTGAACCCGAGTCGCCGGGTTCATAGCGCAACGCAGATATGCAACAACCACCACCCCCACCAGCAGGTGTACACACCATTGTTGAAGCTCGTAAAAAGACGATTTGATCTTCTTCACAGATGTATCCATCTCTTCCTTCAGCAGCAGACGATAACGTGTTAGGGATGCCGTGCACCTCTGAAGATCCTTCACAGACTTCTCAATGTTGGGCCCTACGTGGAAAGTAACAGCAAAGCTTTGCAACACGACAGCACCACCATCTCAACATGTTCACGTTCAAGTCCAAAGAGATGGCAGTAACACAACACTTTGATTCACGTGTGTACAGGTACAGTCACCGCTGGATGAAAGTCTCCCCCATTGAGAATCTCCCATACATCACCATGCTGGTCAGTTGCATAGGTGAAAGCAGGGATCAAACATTAAAATTTACAATTCTGTAAAGAGAAAAGTTTATTGGATTCAGAGGCATGGACAATCGCATGGCAAGTGGGAAGACAGCTAGAAATGCTGCCAAAATTGCCCAAGCTCTGTAGCTCTAAATTGGAGTGTTTGGCCAACTCCATAATTAAATTAAATATACATTGTAGTGTAGTACAGTGCAACATTGTGTTTTGCTGCACTGCCCTCTGCTGACAATGTAGCCTTGAAGCAGCCTACACCACCTGTGTCATGCACGGGGGTCAGCCATTCAAGCACTATCCAGACTCCAGCCCGCTTAGCTTCCAGGGTCTGACAAGATAACAGCACATTCTTTTTAACACTTAAAAAAAATACAACACAGCTAGTTCCCATTCCAACAACCCCCCCCAACTGGGCACCCTTGACAAGTTCCTTACCTGGTTTCTTGCTGTTGGATGTAGGATGTGAGAAAGGTTCTTCAGGAAACATAGCAGGCTGTGGATTGGGTGCGGTGTTGGCATTTCGCTGTGCAGCGCGGGGGCCGCGATGCCGCCCTCCGTGTTGTACTGTACTCTGCCCCGTCTGCTTCGGGGGGGTCCGTCCAGTGCTTGGTTTAGGCTGAGAAACATCTTCCGACGTCTCGTGTGGCTCATCGTGTGCGCTCTCAACTATCGAGAGAGAAAAAAAATCAGTTTAATTGTCGATTCCGCACTCACCGATTAAATCCAGTCACTCGCTCACCAGCGGTCCAGTTGCCTCCTTATCGCTCCGCGATCCCTACTACCACAGTTACTCTTCTCATGAACTCCTGCCGAGGACTCCGTCTACCAGACTAATTGTTGCGACCAGTCCATGGTGTGCAAACACCAGACACTGCAGGTCAAAACAGTGCTTCTGCTTCTTTCCTGGCAGTTGCTCAACTTTTCAAATTCCCTCCCATCGTTTATTTCCCCAAGTTCTTAAGAAAGGCATTAACTCATCTTATAACACACCTGCAAATGCTCTTTGTTGCCGACCGCTTGGCATTTTCAGCCTTTGCTCAGAAATTGTGATTTTTAAAAAAATATCCAATCTTGGAGTAATCCTTGTAAATGATAGCATTTTAAGCAATGTTAGTGATCCTAAAATCCTTGCAGCATTAGTAAAAAAAGCACAATTTTCTAAATATATTTAACTTTATATTAAAGTTCTGTCAAAAGATATCACAGCTTAGATTATGAACTCCAGTTGCTCATTACAGTTTAAAAGCAAATCATCATCAAATAATGCATTGTTATAATGCATATTTGGGTGCCATTCAATTTTCATATGGCCCAGTGAAGTTTTCGTTTTCTAGGATCACACCCTCTCAATTCGTTACTTTTGGTCTAGTGAAGGACTAAAATTGCCATTCTAATCAGTTAAAATTTACAGTTTGCCTATACTGTGACCAAATTAATGTTTCAACTGTTGAGCAACCAGTAAATACCAAGTGCTTCAATTTAAGAAGCAAAATAAATAAAAGCAGAAGTCGTGATGTTGAAAATAAAATAAACTTAAATTTTGAGTGGCTCTCAAATGTGTATGCATGCATAAAACAGAACAGTAACTTCCATATGTGGAAACAAATTGTTAATAGATTGACACATTTTTGTTTCCACATGTAAACATTAAAATACTGTTGTTTTTTTGCAAAATATACGTATACTGATTAACAATAAACAATACATCCGACTGCCTACACATGTTATCGGTTTAAACAAAATAAAAGTGTACACTGCTGCGAAGAACACGCACCAGCACCTGCATGTGTGATGTCCAGTGATCTTGGCCTTGAGTCCGCACAGCCCTCTTTGTCGAGCATCAAAATTTCGTCCATATTTTCAGCAAGGCCCTCTGTGCCATCGCCGTTATGAGCACCAACACCGCCATCAACCACCATCACTGCCGCACCATCAGCAATCGCCGCAGTACTGCCAGCAACTACCGCCACCTCGCCAGCAACCGCCACCAATTCATCAGCGACCACCGCCACTTCGCTGGCCATCACCACCATTTCATCACCGTTTTCTCCATCGCGCTCTTCCTGCGGCACGGGCTCTGGTTCCACTTCTTCCCGTGCAGCCTCGCTCGCGCCCTTCCCTCTTCCCTTCTTCTTCTTAGCGTTGGGCTGCAGCATGAGTGGGCATCTCAATTAGGGCCGACTCGCTCAGACTATTTGTCAGTTTTGTGGTAAGGCCAACTGGGCAGCAGCAGGACATAGATTAACATGTTTCAATTGTAAGACAGGACTTGTGTTTTTAACTTAAAATACTGCCACAATGATGGAATTATAATATTAACAGCTGTTAATTGAAATCTTTTTTGTTCATTTAAACAATTGTCATTTACATGATGAATAGTAATCAAGCATTTCACAGCTGCATATTGCAAACCCTCTATTAGCTGTTTAATTGCTGCATGCAAATCAACACTCATCACTTCCTAATACTGTATCGTGTGTGAATCAATTGCTTTCACATCTAGTGTGGTCTATAGAGTGCTTACCTTCTTTTTTCCAGTGGTGTTCCATTCATTTAGCACCTCATTTGCACGCCCTGTAAAATAAATAAATCAGATTTCACAAATTGTAACTCATCGTAATCTCATCTGAAATATGCACGATTGCATTCATGAGTGTAATATAAAACCTACCGTCAACAAATGCTTGAACAGTTTTGTCCACACTGAAGTCAAATTGTTGCAGAACCAGAACGATTTCGTTGTTGCTCTTGTTATTAACTACCAAGCGCACCGCATTTATCTGCAAAAAAGAATGGGTCAATCTTCACATCGCATGCACAAAAGCACTCTACTTGTGTTACGGGGAAACAGCAGTGCGTACATTGGGAATATTTTACAGTCCAGCAGTCAAAATTGAGGCTGAACTTAAAAGTACAGGGGTGGCAGCCATCAAGGCTCTCAGACGCAGTCTTCGTGGTGCCAAGGGGCGCCATGGTGGCGAGATGTTAATTGCCTCTCCTGGTATACAGGAGGTCGTGGGTTAGATCCCAACCCCGACGCCTGTACATTTGGAGTTTGAATGTCCTCCCCATGGTCGTGAAGATTTTTATTCGGGTCCGTCCAGTTTTCTCCAGACCCTTATCTGCTAAAATATAAATAATTTAGTAGTTTAAAATCGTTTATGGTCTCAAAGAAAGCGCCTACACATTACAATCCGCTCCTCTTACGGGCCAACTCGAAACCTCACCTTTTCCCGTATATTCTCATGTCCGCCGGACCGAGCCATCACTGCCTTGGTCCTGGTGTCAAACTCAACACTTGATAAATCTGTGAACAAAAGTGCAAAGCAACCTGAATGTCTATTCATCTCAATCCAGTTCAAATGCTGAATTGGAAGTTACAATGCGAACATTCAAATATCACCGTTTAAATGCTATTCATGGAATTTGGTCAGCTGTTCAACTTGGCATCAGCTATGTTAGCTCCAAGATTATATAATTTAAGAGTATAAGACAAAAAAAACACTTTTAAAATAAAGTCTTATTATTTGAAAAATAAACAAGTTCACGCTTATTATTCTCATCAGTTTGGAATGATGCAATGCGAAAGCAATTTCGGCAAAAACTACGATTATAACATTTGCACACAATGCAGCAAACTGAATTATACACTGGCTGCATCATTATAACTTCAAATAAAACGCTTTCGATATCTTGCAGGAGAGAATAGGGGGGAAAATACTTTCAAGAAGCCATTTTTAGTCTTGTGCCAAGTCCATGAACTTATTTAAATGCCAATGTCATGCTCAGTGCCAAGAGTCTTCAGGCATGCGTGAAAAATACCATAATTTTCAGGAGTAAGAAGGTTTGGAGGAATAAAAAGTTATAAAAGATTAACTTTTATAATTGCAAAAATTTGAATCTTATGTCAAAAAATTTTCATCTCACAACACTGTTTGACACTTGGATATAATTTTTCATTGGAATTGCAATTTTGGATTTGCTCAATCCTTATAACAGTCACCTACCCACAGTCTCAGCAACTTTATAATACTTTAGTATGACACAAAACAATGCCTATTAGTTACCCTGGATCCGTGCGTCACTCAAAGGTCCAATGGTAACCAGATGCCCCCCTGCATTTGTGCATTTGGCTTAAGAGGGAACACACCGTTGGCATAATTCACCTCCCAGGAGTGCAGGGCAGACGTGGAAGTTGGCTTCCTGCTCGTAGCAACTTTTCATTCGCTCATGAGGTCAAACTGCCTGCATTCATCTATCCAACTGGAATGCTTTCAGGATTGAGGTCAAGGCCAAGTCGAGCACTGTCAGCAGCCCAAACCCAGTTTAGCCTATGATTGGAATAACATGGACATTATTGGGGTATGTCAAAGGATAAGGAGCCAATCTCGGTTGCACATTGAGTTAACCAACACGTGGGGTAACAGAACCCCCCCTCCCCCCAAAAGCATCTCATGCAAAAACCCAACCCCAACAAGAGCTTGGGTCTAAACGCCCCCATGCAGGACGGACACTGCCGACGTGGCCACAGGGGAAGTGCTGCCAAGTCCACATCTGGTTCGGAGCTGTGCCCACTCGGGCTAGCCCCTCCTTTTAATTTTTTTCTCTCCACAGGACTGCCGCTGGCTCTCCACGTTACGCCAGCATTGCTAATTGCGAATGGCTGGGGCCCAACGGTGCACGCTTGTGGCATTTCGCCTGAAAACGCGTCACACCATTCAACGTTTTTTACACTTGAATATGCCACACATCTGCAATTCTAATGAGGGTTCTCAACAGTCATCCGAACACAAAACTACGTACACATTCCGCACGCACACAATATACAAATATAGCAATGTGCACACCCACATACATTTCAGCTTTACCCTTAGCACGCCCTGTATTTACTCTAGGTCTCTCCTACAATAGCTTGACTCCCAGCTGGCTTTTAATGGATGTAAAGTATACAGAATACACTTAAGCAACATACGTCACACATTGACAGTAATATACAAACGACACACACCTCAATAGTTGTCATGCACTGAATTTATAGCAATTTAAAAGGGTGAGTGCACATCGCACTAGACTTTGACACCACCATCACTTTAGCTAAGTCAGCAAGCACGGAGGACAAAACACACAGTCAAAGCCGGGCCACACGTTTCTTACCACTTCTTCACGCACCTTTCCGGCTCCTGCCAATGTCCATGGCAGAGTGAGAAACTCCAAGCGCGGATACAGCAAAGCAGCTCCACACACCGCCGCGATTCCCAGCACCAAACAAATCCTGTAAACACAGCAAGGTGGAGAGCAATGGGTCATCCGATTCGCTGGTCATTTACCCACCCTCTCTTCACAGCTGTGAACCTGACCCATACATGCACGCTGGAACATCATTATACTGACAAACAGTGCATCACGACAGCACAGTAAGTAGGCCGCGAGCAGCAAGACGATTTGACAAATGGGCAGATGCACTTCAGGGACCGTCGATGAAATTAACATTCTAAACTTTTTACTTTACCAGGTAAGGCCCCACTGAGCTATTGTTCAGAGCTATATACCTCTATATAGCCCAACGAAGTGGCTTACCACGTGGACAATTATTGCAGCCAACACTATAAACGAGTGTTTCCAAATGTGGAGGGTGGAAAAATACCGATGGACTCGGAGAAAAACCACGGGGAGAACATGCAAACTCCAAATATACAGCAGGCTTTAATTTTTCTTCTTGGTTCTTTCGGTAAAGTCACGTAGAAGGGAAGTAATAAAATAATAAAAATAAAACATAATAAAATAAAATAATATAAAAATAATATAATATAATAATACAGCAGGCATTAAGGGACCGGATCGAACCCCCGACCTCCTGCATACCAGGCGAAGGAGTAAACATCGCGGCACCCCGCACATTGACTGTGGAGCACCGCACGAAAACAATTTGACAAAAGGAACCACGCAGGATCACAATGATACCCCTCGTAGTTCACAATGGCAATCGTAGAGATTCCCACTGGAGATAATGCTCATTCCAGAAGGCCATTCGAATCGCACTATAGCCCTAGACGATCAGTTTTACTACTCGACTAAACGTACGTTCGGCCGACGTTCAAATAGTCTTGTACTATCTGGGGTGGAGCACACAGTTCCTATCTTAATCTACTGAATTAGGATGCAACGTAAAGCAATCAGGTGGACTTTCGATCCAGCACTAATTCATTTAAATCTCTCACCGGGAGTCCGAATTACCCCTTGATCGCTACTACCGCGGTTACTGTTCCCGTCCAACTTAATCGATTCCTCCACGCAGATGAGGTCTCTCCGTCTGGTAGACTCTTTCGTCTCACCCACACTCGTGTTCTAGCAAAACGCCACGTTTACAGGTCACAACAATTCTCTTCTTCGCTCGGCATCGCTTGCTCCACATTGGAATTCACTGAACATCGTTCCTCTCTCTCTCTCTCTCCGTTCCCCTGTAAGCTCTATTAAAGTGTTAACCTCATCTATTACAACTCTGATGGTGCTGTTTGTTGCTGGTCGCTTGCCATTCTGGGGTTCAGTTTAAAAAAAAAATCAGTTCCGAGGTCTAGAAACGCACACGAGGAACAGCAATAAATTCTCGCACTGGCACCAGAATTCACATCGCAGCTTCACCGAACCGAAAGATGATGAACGAAACGACGGAATTCAATACAATACGGCGCACGCAAATCAGCAACTAGGAGTCGAATGTTCCAGGTGACCATAGGATGGAGATCGGGCACGGTGCTAAAAACATCGAGAAGCTACTAGAAGCGGCATGCAGCATCCGGCAGGAGGCAGCCAGGCCAATGCACACATCCAGATGAAGAGGTGGGCCCCCTCTGTACCTGGGCACACTCACACGGCGGCCCCCCTACCGGAGGGGATAGGAGAACAGAGTCGTACGTAACCCTCCGCTGCTCCCCCCCCCGCTCTCTCTCTACCAACGTTACAATAATAATTCTCCCCAGCAAATAATTACAACTACCGCGCCCGCCTTTAAACTGTAACCTTCACGCTGTAGATTTGGCAAGCAAGAGTTCAGACAGAGCAATAGCAGTGATCGCGCGATACTTATTGTACACGATGATCGCGATGACTTGTCAATAACAATAGAAGAATGGGGGATAAGGAGGAGGATGATGATGATGAGGATGATGATGATGAGGATGATGATGAGGATGAGGAGGAGGGATACGCACTGCAGGAGCGGCGCGCCGAGTCGAATGAGCTCAGCCTCCCGAGCGCGCGCCCTTCGGGTCGTGCAAGCGCCTCGTCTCGCCTTCCCATTGGCTGACGCGGGCTGCGCGCGCACCCCCCCCCCCTTCTTCACATCCCCCCCCCCCTTCTTCACATCCCCCCCCTCTTCACCCCCCCTCCCTTCTTCACATCCCCCTCCCCTTCACATCCCCCCCCCATTCACATCCCCCCCCTTCACATCCCCCCCATCAAATCCCCCCCCTTCATATCCCCCCCCCTTCACGTCCCCCCCCCCCTTCACACCCCCCCCCCTTCAAATCCCCCCCCCCTTCAAATCCCCCCCTCCCTTCACATCCCCCCCCCCTTCACACCCCCCCCTTCACACCCCCCCCCCCTTCACACCCCCCCCCCCCCTTCACATCCCTCCCCCCCTTCAAATCCCCCCCTCCCTTCACATCCCCTAACGTAGTCGTTGGAAATCGAGCGCGGGGCTAGGGGGGGGTGTTTCCGATCCAGGAGAGTAACCCCCCCCCCCCATGCGTACGTGTCTACCCACTGACCAATGAGGAAGGTGGAAATTTCAGGGGCGGGGTGGGTGGGCGGGCGGGCGGGCGGGCGGGGCGAGAAAGGGGGCGGGGGGAGGTTAAATATGATCACGTGACCCTTCCCCGAACGCGTGGCCCGTAAGATTAACTCGGAGCCGGAAAAGGCACGTGACGGAGAGCGAGCAGCCAATGGGATGGCGAGAATAAAGGGGGGGGGGGGGGTGGAGACAAAGGGCGGCCGTATAAAATGAGTGGGACGTGACTTTTGTGTCGCAGTCGTGTCGGGCGCACTTATTGGTGATATATTTTTTTATAATTTGATTTAGTTAGCAATACTGTACGTTCTTTTGTTGCGATAGAAAAAGGGGTTGTCACCCAAAGACTACGATTGTTTTAGGAAATATTATATGCCAGTTTCTAAATTGGTCATCAGACGTACTTTTTTAAGGTTAACTCCGTGGTATAAAATGCAATCTATAACTTATTATCCACTCTAAAAACGCTCTCTATTTAATTAAATGTAACGCATCAAAGCTAGGGGAGAATGTCAGTGTTAGACAATGCTTTTTCCCTCTGGAAAATAGTGAGGGCAACAGATAGGGCTCGAAAGAGATCAGGTATTAACTTTGAAAGTATTTTATGCCGTGACCCACTGCTGGAAGCCACCAATCACGGCTCTGCAATGCCACAATCTCAGAGGAAGGAGTAACAAATGTCATTTTTGCAAAATCTTAAAAGCGGTACCAGATGGTGTTCCATTTTATGTACATAAACCTATATCAACATTTGTATCGTATTACATTGATTCGATGTTTAATTGCATCGAATAAGTAATTTTATAAATTGCATCTACAACTTTATAGATTGCCCCTGAGCAAGATGGCGTTGAAATTGCATATTGAGGCCACGTGGTCGAGTTCTCGGATCACGTGACGCGTATCCATCGCCACGCCCCCAGCTTGTTGGACGTGGGGGGGGGGAAGACCTCGTATGTGACTTCCCCGCCGTCCGTGCAGCCAATGGGGGGGCCGCGTGCGACGTGTCTCGCGGGAGGAGGGGGATAGGTGGACTGGGAGGGGGGATGGGTGGACTGGGAGGGGGGGGTAGGTGGGCTGGGGGGGGATAGGTGGGCTGGGGGGGGGATGGGTGGGCTGGGGGGGGATAGATGTGATGGGAGGGGGATAGGTGGGCTGGAGGGGGGGGGGGATAGGTGGGCTGGGGGGGGGGATGGGTGGGCTGGGGGGGGATAGATGTGATGGGAGGGGGATAGGTGGGCTGGAGGGGGGGGGATAGGTGGGCTGGGGTGGGGATGGGTGGGCTGGGGGGGGATAGATGTGATGGGAGGGGGATAGGTGGGCTGGGGGGGTAGGTGGGCTGGAGGGGGGGGGGATAGGTGGGCTGGGGGGGGGATGGGTGGGCTGGGGGGGGATAGATGTGATGGGAGGGGGATAGGTGGGCTGGGGGGGTAGGTGGGCTGGAGGGGGGGGGGAATAGGTGGGCTGAGGGGGGGATAGGTGGGTTGGGAGGGGAATGGCTGGGGGGGATAGGTGGGCTGGGGGGGGATGGGTGGGCTGGGGGGGGATAGATGTGATGGGAGGGGGATAGGTGGGCTGGGGGGGTAGGTGGGCTGGAGGGGGGGGGGATAGGTGGGTTGGGAGGGGAATGGCTGGGGGGGGATAGATGGGCTGGGAGGTGGGGGTAGGTGGGCTGGGGGGGGATAGGTTGGCTGGGAGGTGGGGGTAGGTGAGCTGGGGGGGATGGGTGGGCTGGGAGGGGGATAGGTGGGCTGGGGGGGGGTAGGTGGGCTGGGGGGGGGGTAGGTGGGCTGGGAGGGGGGGATAGGTGGGGGGGAGGTCTCGCGCCTTTGAGGTTTTCCGTCATCGCCGCTGCAGTGGCGTGCGCGCGCCCTGAGGCAAAAGTCACGAGAAACGCCCAACATTGCTCCACGTACAGCACACACACATATATATACTGTAATATACAATGTTGACGTATCCCCTCATGACTGATGTCCCTCCTTACAATATACCTGTCTGGGAAAAACAAAGCCACGGGGCAGGCAATACTTTTTAAGACAATAATGGTTGTGGCATCAATCAGTGTAAAAGTGATCCCTCCCTGTGGCAAGGATTGGTGGATCACGAAGATATTAAAATTATAAGCCAAGCCTGCAAGACTGGCCGGTGTGTGTTCGTGAACCCATCTGTGCAGACTTAAGTGTCCAGCCCTCGCATGCCACTCCTAAATGTGGCATTTCGTATGACAACAATGCTACAAAATAATAGTATATGACTTTAGAATAACATTATTTCACAAGAAAGTACCGTAAAAAAATAGTATTTATCTAATTATGAATTTCCAGTGTAAATATGCGGTGTTAAAGTTGGCATAACCAACATTATCTTAGGTGAAATAAATAACAATTCGTTAGACGTTACACGAGTTAAACCCTATTGAATCGTCAGCAAAGCCTTGCGGATTAATGGTAAAATACTTTTTGTTAGCAAACCCATCGCTCGTGTAAAAAAAATCTATTGGTGCGTCCATCAGCAGTTGTGACAACCAATTAGCATTCTAGGCAATTCATAATCACGTAATTAAATTTAACCGTCTCGCAGAAAGTATCAATAAACTGATATAACTGTTAATTGCCTTTTATCTCAACCATGGCGTGTGTGTGTGTAATGCTTACGACACACTCAATGAAATACCAAGTAACAGATATGGTGCAGTTTTATGAAAGCCATTTAAATCCAGATTTTTGGGCGTTACACATCTCAGCCGATTTAAAACAATAAATAACGATAGCAGGTAATATTATTTGTTGTTAAATGGGTCATAAAGTATTTTAAAATGCAGCACTAAGTTTCAAATTTGCTTCCATTGCCTTAAATAAAATAAAAATTGCTATGCTTGGGATCACTGATAACCAGAGTAGCTCCTAAATCCCTTGGAAGCTATTGGATTTCAGTATATATATACAGCAGTCGGAAGTGTTAACAGTATATTGTGAATATATGACTGTAATAAAATAATTTACAAAGTTATAAGTTCTAGCTTTTTGTTAATCCACTGCTTTATGAAGGCATGCCCATGCCATTTTGATTATGGAGGTTTGGACCACACTGGGAAGCGATGAAAAAAGTAACATTGTGGATGGAGGTGAGATCGGTTTTAAATTATGAGCGGACAATTGTCACGCCAAAAGAGAAAGGGTAATTTGAATGTGAAATATATATACTGTACCACCTTTATATTGTAAAGCAATATCAACTGCATGGCTTCCCGTCCTCGCCCATATCACGCTGCTGGGTATCTGCAGAGATGCCCCAAAACTTTCTCCGAAATCCCTCACGTAAAACGAATTAAACCCGAGCCTTGCTCTTTCAGGAGGAGCTCAAGAACCCTCCTTGGCCCCATCTCAAGTCCCGAAGAACCACTCTGAGACCGCACAAGGGCCCTCGACAAATCGATCCTTCTGTGTGGAAGAGTGCTGAGCTTTGCAACTCACACCTTGGTGTTGCAGACACAACATGACAGCTGAAAGGATTTGACCTGCTTCGCCCGGAAAACTATGGTTCGCAACTAACCGATTCCACACCGCAACCGGACGCTGGACCTCTTTACTTCACGGGTGGAGGGTCACAGCTAGTCCACAATGTGACGGTGGAGATAGTAGTCACCAAGCAATGGAACACATCATCATCGCTTGCCCAAAGCGACACTTCACAGGAACCCTCTGAGTGTATTGCAGAAACCACACCCCAAGCCGTCATGTGGCTCACGAACCTCGATATTCAAGTTAGTTTTTGAACAAATAATCTCGCCATTTACACCAGAACAAGAAGAATTAAGAAGTACAAGTGGAATAAGAATGAAATTATAGGAGTTTAATTGCACTGTTTACTTCATCACAATGCATCTCACAGTATTCACTTCATTGAAACCATAGGCCACAAAAATTGGCAAACAATTTCTAAATTTCGATTTAAAGCTTTCGTGACTGCATGGATTCATATTCTTGGTTCTTTCGGTAAAGTCACGTAGAAGGTAAATAATAAAATAATAAAAATTAAACATAATAAGATACAATTATCACGACGTTTCGGCCACAACGCAAGCAGCCATCCTCTAGTTTATGGTGTTTTTCTATTTCACATCACAAGGGTATATTTGGATACAGTAAACACAAAGGGAGACTTAATTAAACAAACAGTAAATGATTCATGCGCACAAACTACAAACAAATCTGAGTAATTGTGTTGTAACAATAAATTGTTCATGTGAGTGCCAGTGTATGTGTAGTGTATGCCAATATTGTTTATTGCTTCCACTAATGGTGGCCCCCAAGACTTATGCATGAAAGGCAAGCACAGACGATGAGTACAATGCGTTTATGAGTGCATTGTGCACTCTAAAACTTTTACAGTAGCGAGGGCTACGGTCACAACATTTATAAAGCTAATGCATTAAAAAAATTAATGACCCATAATTGCTGCATTTTAGCACTAACGTTGTTGCAAAAAAAAAAAATCCTATCAAATACATCGTCACTACACAACACTTTGACAACTTTTTGGGGGGTATTTTTTAGATAAAAGTGTACGGATTTCCAGTCTTCAATTATTATACCACGCCATATGACAAATAACGTATGCAGCTAATGCCACTTTAATTAGCTTCATTTTATTATTCAAACATTCCTTGCACAAGGGGAAAACTTGTTTCATTCGTGCATGTTTGCAAAAGTGTCATCGTGCTAGGGCGTTACACAATTTCGTGACAATGCCACTCTTTGACGGCGAGTAGGTTTTGGCACATCCTCACAACAACCCTGCCTAGCTGGCCGTGCCCAAGGCCTTGCGGAAGCTCTCGACAGACACTTCTCCCCGTGGGTTCTGCGCCGCGGCCGTGGTCCACGCATCTTCAAAAGCGCCGTCACTAAGCTCCACCCCAGCGTTGCGCAGGATCTGCTGGATCTGCCAGGAGGGGAGATGGTTAGAGCCAGTCGCTGTACCAAGACCATATCCTTCTGTGGCAAATTACCGTAACTATCCCGAGCCCAGACGACAGCATCATAGGTTTGACAGCAATTGTGCTAATTCGGAGAATATTTTTTTTGCTGTCATGCGAACCCTTAATTAACATCACATGGATATGCACTTTGTTAGCCTGTGACTAAATCACCCGGAATGCATCAAATTTCAGAAACTATTTTGGGTTGAGTCTGGATAGTGTTTGGGTGAGTGATCACCACGCACACATAGGTTGTCAAAAGTGGATTTGAGTATATGTGGTGGATAGTAGATGGCAATGCAGCAAAACCCAATACTCTTATATAAGCGCACAACTTTATCTATCCGTGATTAACGCAGCACTGTCTGTCGTTTTCATGCAGGGGGTGCTGCAAACCTACGCGCCCCCTGCATGAACGACGGAGGCGTAGAGACAGACGTTCGATTACATTGGAATCGATCTGCAGACGGCGGTCTTCTCGCACGGCCAGCTCTATGTCGCCTTATCTCGATCCCGCAATCCCAAACAGGTGAAAGCCCGCATCGAACCGAACGCCCAGCAAGGCCATCTACTTAACGACGAGAGAAAATTCACACGAAATGTCGTTTTCAATGAAGTCTTTCAGATGTAAAATGATAAAAGCTTTTAATGAAGAAATAAAATTATCTAATTCAAAACATCATACAATTCAAAGATGTTTCATTTTAAAACTTCAGAACGGAGCATCGGGTGCTTGCGTGAATGCGTCGTTCGTGTGGAATTGTTTTCGTGACTTTCCTGGCCGAAGGCCGTAAATGGTTGTGAGGGGCGACATGGGCGCCCCCGAACAACCTCGAGTGTACTTATATGCTCCTACTTCTATGCCCCCCACCTTCCAACCAAATTCACCATAAAGTGGTGAAATGTGGTAAAATAACCCCCCACAAAGGAAGCCTTCATCTGGCAGTGTATTGACAAAAGGGCTGTTCGTGTACTGTACATGTATATAAAGTCTTCTAAGAGCTGAGTGGTTATATTATAAATCATTCACAAGAGTGAAGGAGCGTGAGTGGCTGTGGATTGGTGCCAGGCAGCTGACCTGGTTGGGGTTGCGCGGGGTGAGGAAGTCAGCTTCGTAGACCCCGTGAAGGGCATACACAGATGGGTTAAGGAGCCCAGCCACGTCCGACTCTTCACCGTAGTTGGTCCTGTCTCCAAAGTGGCGCACCCGTGGTGCTGGCAAGTCAGTGCGGACAGATGGAACGCCAAAAGTGTGCCAACCTGGGGTATGGGGCAGAGAAGAACGGCAGGTGGGTGTGTGGGTAAGTAAACGTGGACCCCTGCATTTGCTCAACACCTTTGCTGGCGAAAATGGCCTCCACTAGAGGGCGCTCTAAACATCCACTCTAGAGAGCATTTTGGCCTACTCTCCCACACTGGCCAAATGTCTTGTAAGTGGTGGGAGTACACACACTTTACCACTCACGGCCTACCGATCGACTACGGTGGACCCATTACCTACGTGACTTTACCGGAAAAACCTAAGAGTATGAATCCTTGCAGTCACGAAAGCTTCAAATCTAGAACCCATTTATACTGCTGGGTGGACAGAGGTGGGAGAATTTAAGAATATTGTGCCGTTCTTGGGAGAACAAACCAGTGACCTCTGGATAGCAAGTCCAAAGTTATAACCATTGCACTATGGCAACTTTGCACCTCCGATTAATACGGTTGGCTACATATGGTGTGAAAGAAGTTCTACATACAGCTTCCCTGTGGTGAGAAGGAAACATCCCAAACAAGATTCATCAGTACAGTACTGTGATCCATCACATGCTGGGTGTGATGATACCCTGATTTGGTAGATCGTGTGAAACACTCAGATACAGTATACAAAAAGTAGGTCAGTGAACTATGCGGAGTGTAAGTTTTCCTCCCTTGCATGCACTGATTTTGAATGGGAACACCCAATTCTTTCCACATGCAATCAATGTAGGTGACCAACATCCAAAGCAATATGCTCGTTAGTGTACAACCTTAACACTCAACGAGGCTTGCTTGTGCAAAAATACATTGATATTAACATACGACTAGTAAAATTGCATTTCTTTTCAAGTAAAACATTGATTCATCATGAAAAAATTGTATTCCTATTTTACTTGCTGTTCTGCCAGAGAAGGCGTATATCTACGTGGCAGGCACAGAATACTGTAGCATTGGCAGATGTCTTCACATACCCGCAGATGATGCCCTGCCTATGGCGGAATTCACGAGGGAGGACGAGGTGCAGTAACGCCCGTGCATCCTGTCCACCTGCTTCGTGAGATTGAGAGGAGTGAACGATGGGACGTTCGGGCCCCTGGGCGCAAGGCCTCGTGGCTCAATCAGTTCCATGCTGCTCTTGCCACTTTTGTCTCTTCCATGAGTAGACTCCATCGAGGCAGCTACGTTCCGCTCGTCTGCTGAAGGTAAATATATAAGTATTACTCAAACTGACATATCATTAGATTACTGAACCTCTGTCCAACATATCTTGTCAGCATGGAAGAGTAGACCAAAAACCCTCTCAAGGGCCTCCCTAGGGCTTCGTCTAGTGGAGGCCCTTCTGCCAGTAGTGACATAAGCATTGCACGTTTGCACCTTTATATTTTTTGTTACCTTTTATCATTAGATGAATTTATGAACGAAAAACATTTCATATAAAATGTTGACGTGTTTCGAGAACTGCACTCACAGTGGTGTCAAAACACAGGCCAAAACGTATATTCGTCATGAACACAAACTTTGTTGGCAATGGCGTGAGAAACGCAGCCCATTTTTCAGCAGAAAAAAGATGTTTGGCCAAAAGCATAGATTATGTTTTTCATTATAAGGCAATTTTGTTATTGATCATGATGGAAAAGTATTTCCAACCTTTGTAAATTCTTTACAGACACAAGCCAAACAAAAGAATTATATTTTGTATTATTAAACAAATTTGTTCGAAAATGAACAAATATTGGTACAACTCAAGCAATTCAATAAAGATCCTGCTGCATCTTGTTGCATTTGTTTTTGTAATTAGTGCAGCCAAAGCTGCATCGGCAGTTCCACATGAAGATCAATCTGTGGATTAAATTTTAACTGCATCTGTCTGGGTCGTTGACTCAAAAAACATTTCGGCACACCACATCTAGTATATCTCTCGATATGGCTGTGACTGCTAGTCACGTGCCTATCCCATTCTACCAGTGATCTCGAAAATATTCAGTGAGAAATCAAGCCCTGGATGAAACCATGTGTGTGATACTACCATGTTTCATTATGATAAACAGTGACAATGTAAAGTTGGGGACATGCACCACCGTTGACCGCTCTTTCCTCCTGTGGACTAAGCGACAGCGCTTGCTTCCAGTTGAGGAAGTTTGCAAATTCCAGGTAGTTGATGAAACCATCCCGGTCCACATCGCAGTATCTGACAAGATCCTGGAGCAGCGCGGGCTTCACGGGGAGGCGAAGCTCTGAGCACACAACCTGCAGCTCCTTTGCGTCAATTTTTCCGTCACCGTTCTGCACAGAAAAAAACACATGCAAGGTTATGCGCGAGACTAATTTCTCACTGAATATTTCCCAGATCGCTGGTAGACTGAAGTAGGCGCGTGACAAGTAGTCACAGCTTTAGCGAAAGACAACAATAAATGTGGTGTGCCAGGTGTGGAAGTATTTCTTGGGTCAAAGACACAGACAGACATAGCTGAAATTAAGCCCTGGCTCTACTCCAAGAAGTTGTGGAATTTTGTGTTAGCAAGTGGCAGGCAAACTAGTGACAAATGTACGGCTGGTTACAGTATATTGTGGATATGGTGGTGATGCATGTCTGTAATCTGGCAACTCAGAGATTGGGTGTGGTTGATGGATCACACACACATGAATATATTTGTTTTCATCATTAGCCATGATCTATCCAATGGTGGATGAAGACCTTCCCAAGCAATTCAGTATGTCCTGTAATTCATGTGTTCCTCTTCCTGTGTCCTAGTGTGATTATGGGTATAAAATATGCATCTTCAGGGTACCAAAGTGGGGCCTGTAGGAGGTCATATAATAAGTATGGCTGTGATACAAATTTGGGAGTTTGAGCATTATTTTTACGTATATATGCATTTTCTCTGACTCATTGCACATGCAAACAATCAAACAGAAACATCGTAATTATGAAATAGACATTTAAAGAAAGGGCTCCAATTAAAACAAGATTCTTGGACAATTAGGTTGGATTTTCTGGGTAAATAAAAAAAGTTATGAAAATGACACATGCATGGTTTACTTAACACTTTCCAACATACTCAGAAGTCCTGAAAAGTATATATTAACAGGCTGCAAGCCAACGCTTAGCTGTCAGGGAAAAATAATATGGATACAGTATTTGCAAATACTATAGTACATTTTTCTATAGCTCGTGTCTCTAAGTTTTTGGGCACCCCATTGATGAATGTGGTCAGTTTTCGATAGATAGGCTTAGCAACACAACTTTACATGACAATTTGGTTCGCTTTGGATTGTCTCTATGACAGTTACAGTGTCGTCCCACCATTACGGATGGACAGACGTATTCTACCTTAGTTGGAAACCGTTAAAAAATTAACCCGTAAAAAAAAGTTTTTCACTACAAATCATTTATATGCATGGCATCGGTTTTATTTTATTATTCATTTCTGTTTTTCTTGAGTAAGGGTTTCATTTTTATCACATTGGTATTTTAAATTAAATATAAGGAAAGTCGTATATAAGGATTATAAGGTTTTCAGTTTTTGTATGATTGTTCATATTGTACATTTTTGTTGTTTTCTTGAATACATTTCTGTGTTTAGGAAAAATATATGATTGTGTTAGTGAAAAAATTTTTTTCCTAAAAAGTGGAAAATTTTGGAAAAATGTTTTCACGAAAATAAATTGTCACGCACAACGAGTCTATGTGCAAAATGTCAGCTCGATTGGATCACGGGGAGTGGGTTAAAAAACGACCGAAAGATTTGCACGGTCGTAAGCGCGCAAGCAAGCAAGTGAACTTAATATAAAGGATTTAAAAAGGAACCCATCACGGTGCGTCGTGGGATGAGGGGACGCGCGCACACCCTGTCGTAGTGGCGGAAAGCATCCAGTAGGCTTGGGAAGCTGTTGTAGTTGGCCACCTTGAGGCAGTGCCGAACGGCAGCTAAGAGGGCGCGCTGGCGCTCAGAGCCACGCAGCCACTCATGCCGCGGACGCCGGTGCACGAGGTCCCCGGCTCCTGGAGAACCAAGACAACCATGCGTCATGGTCAATGTGATCTACACAAGGTTGCCTCGTTTCTGGGAGGCTCAACTGGGCAAATGTTCATTGCTGCATCCACTCAATCACTAGCCCCACCCAGTGAATGGAATCCCCACTCTGACATCAGCCCCACCTGCTGCTCATAGGCACCACCTAACTTGTTTGATGATCTCACCCACTTACTCGGGTAGCCACACCATTTTCTCGTACTAACCATGAAGCCAGAACATTTGAAACTGAGACAAAGACGCCAATGTCCACAAAAGAGAGGACACCAGGACAGCTTTTCTAAAATTCGGACTGTCCTGGCTACACGGGGACATTTGATGTTCTTCTACAGCACTGGTGATTGAATAAAATCACTTCAAACTGTCCAGACCATTAAAAGACAAACACAGGATTGTTTTATTAAAATGCAATGATGAACTATGACACTAAACCAACATTACGGCTGGATGTAATTCAAGATCTGGTGGTGACAAAATTATATGAATGCATCTGTGCATCTGAAACGCCCCCTACGGTACACCTAGTGCACATACAGCCCAAGCACGACCACAAAAACTGTTTTTTTTTATACTCACCCATATACCATATGGCCTAGCAAGCTAAGTTATTTCAATGAAATATATATTTGTGGCAACTAAGAAATACATTTTAATATGTATTACCTATATAACTTATCAAAATGCTATATTTAACATGTGAAGATAAGGTGGCACTACTTTCAATTTACCATATTTGTCAGGTTCAACCGGCAGACCAAACGTGTGGTCTGGTAGCACATCCAAGGTGTCTGCGATTCTGTGAAGAAGAGACGTACATCTATAAGAGATAACATTCGATTGTGAGTGGTGGACCGTCAACGAATGTAGCACCTGCCGTGATGATGCAAATTCTAACAAATACGATTCATCAACAACCAACAGCCCTGGAGCAAACCCCTCCGTACGGATCGAGGACTTTCCCCAACTTTGGCCGAGTTCTCCTCCTGAAGTCCTCCAGTCGCTTCAGCTGCTGCGATGTATTTTGTCTGAGAAGTAAGAATAAAGCGCTTCAGAAAAACACCACTCATTGCAATGAATACTATTTTACCGCAATCTCAATTTCTTTTATCTTTAATCATTGGACGACTCAGTAAAAGTCTAAACCTGCTCACAAGTGTATTTGTCTGACAAATTGATATATTTTATTTACAGCCATTTGTCAATCCACGATGAAATAAAGACATCATCACGCTATGTCAGTTATGGGGGTTTATTTGACCATACTTCAGCACAATAGGGTGGGACAGCACAGAGAAGCGGGTCAGATACAGAGGTCGCAAACGGGTTTTGATTCCTTACCCGTACCCGTACCCGACCGCACCAGGGTCGCAAACGGCTACCCGTACCCGTACCCGGCCGGGTACGGGTAGCCGGGTATCGGGTAGGGTACGGGTATCGGGTACCCGGTTGCGACCTCTGGTCAGATATCACTCACCACTGAAGTTAGATGTGGCCAGGAATCAAACTCATGTCACTGGATTCATAGCACAGTGTGCTAACCGCTGTGCTGCTTGTCCGCCTTGACATTTGCTACCAAGACAAAATTAATTTGGAAGAAAATCTAATGAATTTACTACTTGCCTAATAATTATCATTTGCTGAAGCAGCATTAAAACTATTCACCCATATATTTTTTTTCTGAAACGCAAAAAATTGTGTGCAGCTTGTGTTCAGTCGTGATGAATTTCAGAGTGGGTGATTGGGGTTCATACATCCACGTCTGTGCCTGGGCCACACTCCTTCCATCTGCATGATGAGGCGTGGCTCTGCCGAATCTGCTGTCTCGGCCAAAGCAGCTCCAGTCATAGCCACGATCGATAACCTCGCCTGGGCACAAAGACGCATAACCCTCGCGATCCCATTTCGATCTTACATGGATAAATGTAGAGCTTCAGGAGCAAACAATGGTTAATACTGAGGTCACGTAAAATTAGTCACGACTACCCTACACAGGGTCCACACCAGTATTCTCCAACAAACTTGGCCATAAATGGCTTCAAAACGTTAAAGGTTGCTGCTTCACATTCAAGGCTCGGTGTTGTTTAAACCTGATAAACAATTTCATTACGTACTCAAATTCAATGGAGATCGCTATAATTTTTTAATTGAAATTATCGATAACCTCGCCTGGGCACAAAGACGCATAACCCTCGCGATCCCATTTCGATCTTACATGGATAAATGTAGGGCTTCAGGAGCAAACAATGGTTAATACTGAGGTCACGTAAAATTAGTCACGACTACCCCACACAGGGTCCACGCCAGTATTCTCCAACAAACTTGGCCATAAATGGCTTCAAAACGTTAAAGGTTGCTGCTTCACATTCAAGGATCGGTGTTGTTTAAACCTGGTAAACAATTTAATTACGTACTCAAATTCAATGGAGATCGCTATTATTTTTCAATTGAAATTATAACTGGAATATACAATTCTCGTTTGCCTTTTTTTACAAAATGCAGATAACAGCCAAAGCAAAGGTTCTTTTTAACACATTATAGGCAAGCAAAGTCCATAATAGAGGTCCATAATAGAGGTTTTTTGTGTTAGATAGCGTAAATAAATAAATGTGTCGTTAAACCCGCCACCACCCGACACAGCTAACTAGTAAGGGTTGTCACGTAAACAGAACATGCCAATTTACGTGACAACCCTTACTAGTTCGCTGTGTCGGGTGGTGTCAGGTTTAAACGACACATTTATATATTTACGCGATCTAACCCAAAAAACATATATTATAGATGATATTGGTCGCGAAAGCCTATGTGTTATTGGTCGCGAAAATCTACGTGTTAAACCAAGCAAAATCAGACGCAAAACGTATTTCCGGTTTGCCAAAAATGCTCAGTATTGTTTTGTGGAGAGCTCACCGACGTGGTAGGAATTGTGAGTCCGAACGTACAGGTCATGACCTTTCTGATATTCACTGTCCACCTTGTCCCAGGATTTTGGGGGGTTTATGACTTCGCCAGCTGAGAATTCTGAGAAAAATATAAAAAAAAGACAAATTCAATGGAGATTGCTACACATGTGAATCCAACAGTGTTAGATGCAGGTCAGCTGTGTGTGTGTGTGTGTGACAAAACATCGTTAAGACTGACACTGCACAACGGTGTGAAAGTTTCCAGTTCAAGTTTCAAAGATCTATTATACACCTCAGTTAACGCTTTGAGTGCAAAATGTTTTAACCAAAGTAAATGTTTAAGTGTTAACACATCTTGGCAGATGTAATCTGTAGCAGCAAAATTATAACGATCAATTTTAATACTGTACTGCTGTTTGTAAATCCACTGTTGGATTATGGCCTCCCCATGACGTATTGATCATTGGGTTATTTGACCATACTTCATCAAGCTGGTCGGTGTGAGTTGGTGTGCGATTTGGAGGGGCCAGGGTTGATATCAGATATTTTTCGATATTGGTGTTAACCGTGGCCGGATATCGAACAGTATCATGTACTGTAGCAGTGCTCCCACTATTCTACTCAAAGTGGCCCTAAATACTCAGGGATTAATTTCAGCTAGGTCTGTCCGGGTTGGTGACATGGAAAATATATCTGCGCCTCGCACGCCACGTTCAGTATACCTCTCGGTATGGCTGTGGCTATTAGTGCCTCCTCCGATCTATCAGCGACACCGAAACTATTCCTCAAAATGTGAGCCCCTTCTGATACTGCTTCACCGTACAGAACTTTGAAGGCTCAAGACTGACGGCAGTGAACTCCATCAAAGGCCAGGCCTGCTTTAGCATTACCAGAGGCAGTGGACCGCCCGAAGGTGGTGGTGTAGGGGTGCAAGCCGGTCGGCAGCCCTGGTCCTCTTTGTGACGAGCGACCCAATGGGGCACGTGCACCACCCCACCAGAAGCCTTCCCTCTGCTCCAGTGACCTCTGATGGAGGGTGCTACTCGGCCGCGGGCTCAGTAGCTCGCCGACCTGGCACAGCGTGGAACGGCATGGTGCCAGCGCACATCCTCACTCACTCGCGACTCTGATTCATACCGACGTTGCAGCCAAGACACACCCTCTCCCCTGCGCTATCCATGACCAAATCAATCACTAAGTTTGTGCCGGTTAACTGAGAGCTGTGCAGGATGACATAGTTACTTGGCATCACCTAGTCAGTTGCTGGAGAGAGTTTATCTTACTTTCAATTCAAGATTTAACAAACGATGCAATGCATAATGGAAACTTTTCCAGAGCCAATTAAAAACTGCTGAAAAGATTTTACCACTAATAGTTTTAATACTATTTTGAGAACAAAGGTCCGAGTTTAGAAAAGTTTCAGCATTTTTTCCCCAATTACGTGTGCTATAAATATCATAGTTTTAACACTGTGAAACATGCAAAGAATAATGATGATGCTCAAGGCTTACATTCAGATGGGTTTGAATTGGTTGGTAATCTGGAAAAAAATCTCTACACCCAGCACACCACACCGAGGGTACCTCTTGTATGTATGTATGTTGAACTTATTTCGCATCATACGTAGCCAACGATGGTAATCATAGGTGCTATGACCAAGGACATATTCAGTGATAAATTAAACCCTGGTGATGCTATTTTTCAAATATCATTATCATCAGCCAGTCATGATTAATACACAGCTGAAATATGGTTTTCCCTAGCCGACACCATCTTTCAAGATCCAGCGATGTAATAATCCACCTTGAACCTGCAAGTGGGCTGAATTCATTGCTCCATCTTCTCTCTGGATATCTGTTGTTATTCTTATTATTGACAGAATCATTTTTTTTTAATTGGGAGGCCAACCAACAAACAGAAGCGATCAGAGTTTAAGAAAGATTTCTCAACCGTCGATCACATACAAACTATTATTCAGATTCTGGAAAAGTGTATTCGATTTCCAAATCCACATTGGGATTATTTAATTCAATCCACTGCCCTCACCAAGAAGCTAAAGGGACACTTGTCACAAACCACGCACCAACAAAAACCTGCCGCCAATAAAAAAAACAGTACTCACGCTCAGCGATGGCCTTGAGCGGATGCCGTGCACCAGTGAAGATGCCACGCTGGAATTCACACGAACCCCGAGTGGCGCGTTTACCTTAGCCACGCAAACACGCGCTTTCAATGGGCAACCATGACAGCCGAAGGCATTCATTATTGCAGGTTTACATCGTTTTATGCGGGCTCGGTTTGTGCGATTTCGCGTATACGCGGCGAATCTATTTCGACCCAAAATTCGCTCTATGCGGTTTGAATTCACTCGTGTGAGGTTATGCGGTCAAACGTGGAACAATATTGTGTATATGTACGTGCTGCTCAGCGGGCAGCTGTCTCGTGCCGTTTCGTTTTGTGCGCCCCCTTTCTTTGGAACGCATCTACCGCATAAATCGAGGGAAACCTGTACAGTAGAGTACATTCTTCACTTCACAAGATCACATGTGGTGGTATAGATTTTTTTAAAATAAAATGCTAGAAATTATGTTTGGCTTAATAATGTACTAATTAAGGTAATGCAATGCAATTGTTTCAAATAATAATGCCATTTGTTATCCAGAAGAGAGTCATTAAGTCTCAAGATCATTTCTCGGGAGGGTCCTGCACTGGGATGTTTAGCCAATTACATTAATAAGTGTTCGACTTGTGGGAGGAAATTATGAAGTTCCAAAATCGGGCAACTCCAAATCTTGTAGACCACAGACCATCGATCACTTAATGTCAACAAACACAATCCATTAATGCACTCGTATTTTACCGAGACACCTACTTGTGCATCCGAGTGGTTTAGGCACTGCGAGGCGCGGTCTCCTGCAGGACGAAACTTCCCTGCCTGTAACGCAAACCCAAATACGCATTGTATCCTTCCATGGGGGTAAATGCTGCAACAAATTAATGGGCATTTGCTCCTTGTTCTCAGCTGCCCTTGCTGTCTGGAACTTTCCTCCTGCGCTGCTGACTGTCTGTTCAAGTTCTTGCTCAAAAAACCTTCTCCTCTTCCACTTTATTTTTAATGTTGAATGTGCTATACACCTCCCTGTCCACCTCCTCATCATCATCGTCGTCGTTTCATTCCTCCTTTAACACGCCAACTCATGTACAGCATCTTAAGCTTTTACTAATTTTGATAAGTTACAAATTAAAATTAACCTAATAATGTATGCTGAACTGCTTTCGCAACGTACGTAGCCAACCGTGCTAATCGGAGGTGCGGTCGACATACAGCCTCTTTGACCATACTTCACCACGTTGGTCAGTGCGGATTGATAAGGGAACGATTGAGAGTGTGTGCAGGACTGCTTTAGATATGGCTCTCGCTTCTGATGTTTGCCATCATTGGGAACCGATCCCAGGTTGCAGGTTCTTAACGCAGTGCGTTAACCACAGAGCCACTGCCCCAACCCTGTTTATATTGCTGTGTTACCACTGAAGAGGTGAGACAAGGGCCTATTTTCTAAACCACGCCGCGTTGCATTTAAAGTGGAGTGGGGAGAAATCATATCTATCTAAATAAAAAAGCGTCTCAGGGAGCTAATGTATTCACTGGAGCATCCTCGAGAAATTCCTCTGGGATATTGTCACAGTCGTGGAATTGGCATCTGTGTTTGGGTGACGGGATATGATTTTGTACCGAGATATGGTGGCATGTATTACAGTACACTGCGCAGTTTAGATAGACCTAGGCTGACTTAGAATTGTCTGAGAAATATATCTGGGTCCGTGGAAAAGCCCTTATATTCCTCTTCAAATCCTTGTAGACCGTGCAATACATGTTCCGCACGAATGTAGATATTACAGGGGCCATTAAATTAACGGTATTACATAGGGCATCAAACACTCATCTCTCTCTGCTGCCTATCTGCCACATGGTATCTGTCATAAAGAAATTACTTGAGAATCTCCTCGCTCCCACTGATGCTGTGTTCCATTTAGCTTGCTCGTGTCAGTGACTGGGATGAATTTTCCTTTGGTATGAGCCTTTCGATAACGATTCCCACAGGAGGCAAGTGCCTTCAAGTTCTTACGACAAGTCCTTAACTCCGTACGTACAATCCCGGCTTATCCAAGACATAGACTGTAGACAGACTTTGGACTAGAGCCAGAACGATTTTGTTTTTTTAAATCACTATGCAAGTGGATAACATATTTATTGAACTGAGCAAGTTTATGAGTAGAGTCGTGGGGAAATGAAAAGAGGGAATTCCTCGGCCGAGCAATGCGCGAGGGACGAATGAGAAAGTTAAGTGTGGTGACTTGCAGTGTGGTGTTTGGATGAAGTGTGGTGGACGAGACGAAACAGTCAAGTGTCCGAGTCCTCAACACGTGTGGAGGAATCAATGAGTGAAGCTCACGGGAGCAGTCACCATTGTAGCGATTAAAGTTATAAGACGCCTGAGTTACCGGAGTAAATCAGTGTTAATAGATGGTAGACTAGAACTGAAACTGTATTCCTGTTTATACAGGTCCAGTATGTGTGTTTACGGGTGTTTGTTTAACTCTACATAAATGTGAAGTCAAACTTGTTTTACTCACGCTTCTGATGCCTGGCGTCCGGTCAATGAACTCTCCTTGGTAAATGGGTCGAAGGTCAAACATTGTTGAGTCTATCATTCTGAAAAAAAAAAATGCACACACGCAGCACATGCTGTAGTTGAGGTCAGTGGTAAAAAAAGTACTTTATAACCAGTTAAGAGCCATTTGAAACCAACATCATGTAAAGAGCCAATTCAGACAAAACGTTTCTTGTTATTCAAGGTCAATCTGGGAATCTATAACCCGTGAGCTGCTGATGTTAAAATGCAACCATGACCACGCAAAACATTACTGTACAATAAATCATTGTGGCCAAGAGGACTCAGCAACAGCAAAAAAAACCCGGACAATTACAATCACGAGAACTGAATTAGGTTACAGTATTGCTGGGAGTGGTGGGACGTTTGGCAGGCTTCTTTGTAGCAAGCAGCTTGTGAACTGGTTGCGTGTGACTCTTTAAAGAGTTTTTTTTGTTGCTCCAGCAACGAAGCAAACCCTGGGCTCCACTCACTCACTCACTGTCACCTCTCTCTCCCTCTCAGTTGATGTGTGCGCTATTGGGCCGCATCGGGCTGCATGATTACATTTACAATTCAAATACGTATTGTGTAGACTCATACATACATATGTAGGTTTTGTCCCCATTGCTTAAACAAGCGTTGGAATGTAGTCATCTCTTTTTGGTTGCCCCGGGTCAGTCATATTCCCCACGGCACACCGACGATTTCCACTGCTCCATCTCCACGGTGTGTGTCCTCTCGGACGCGTTCCATCACTGGGCTGCCAATCCGCCATTCGTGATTTTTAAAAAGTCAATATGATCTAGATCTGAAGTTTTCGTGACTGTAATGATAAATACTCTCTGGTTCTTTCGGTAAAGTCACGTAGGTATAAAATTAAATACAAAAATAAAAATATGATGCCTCACGAACTTGCGTTTGTTCTCTTATCCGTGTGTTTTTTGTCTCACACTTAAGCACAGTGCTATCGGCCAATCGTTACAAACTGGTTATCTGTAAATGATAACAAGTTTCATTCGATGAACCGCGCGCGTATGGGTTCATGTCGTAGACACATCAATTACAATTCCCCTTGCGATCATAAATCAATGCATGTGAGTTATCACTTCCACGCAGTATCCATAAAGTATTCGATTAATTCTTCGTAACTATTTCCCATAAAACTATGTTAATACTCATACGTTCAAGAACACTTGAATTAATCGAATAATCGTTGACACGCTTTGTTCCCAGGGTAATGGAATTATTGGCATAGGCGTCTCTCGCTGAATGAGCGTTCTGTCTAGGTCTGTCTAGGTCTCTAGGAGAATTCGCGATAACGAGCAAATTTGAATTTAGACCCATTTGTTCGCAAAACGAGCAAATGTTTGCTTTGCCGATCAATAAATATGCCTCCCGTGGTGGCAGAGGGCGCACGTTGGCTCGCAGCTGTTTGTTTGCCAGCTGTGCTGTGCCTGCACGTCTCGTTGTGTGGTGGAGGAGGCCTTGTGGCACTGTAATGGGTGGGTGGAGGCGCTAATTGCAGAGGCTGAGGACAGGGAGTCGCGCTGCATCTCACATCGTGGCTATGAACCAAGCAACCCGAGTTCAATTGCGAGCCACGGCTAACATCAGTGGCGAGTGATATTTGAACCAGCGGTCCTGTATTGCTGCTCCCTCCACCCAATAACATCTGCCCTTCAAACTACATGCCAGACACCTGCAAGCACTGTGGTTCTTTATGTGTGATAAGTGTTACATTTGATATTTTATTCATTTATTTTAAATTAATTTGTATTTCTTACGAAAAAAAAAATTCAAGATAGCTGTATGCCGTAAGGACATGAATACTCAATGTCCCTACAAGAATACGGGTAACAGATATGGGTTGAAAGATATGAATTTGTTAGCGAGCGGAACGTATCTTGCTCGTTAAGCGAAACACGCCAGCGGTCGATTAATCGTTTCACCCCCCTCCACCCCACTAGCCCCTCCCCCTCACGCCCCCTACCCCACTAGCCCCTCCCCCTCACGCCCCTCCCCCTCCATACCCCACTAGCCCTTCCCCCTCACGCCCCCTACCCCACTAGCCCCTCCCCCTCACGCCCCTCCCCCTCCATACCCCACTAGCCCCTCCCCCTCACGCCCCTCCCCCTCCATACCCCACTAGCCCCTCCATACCCCACTAGCCCCTCCCCCTCACGCCCCTCCCCCTCCATACCCCACTAGCCCCTCCCCCTCACGCCCCTCCCCCTCCATACCCCACTAGCCCCTCCCCCTCCATACCCCACTAGCCCCTCCCCCTCACGCCCCTCCCCCTCCATACCCCACTAGCCCCTCACCCTCCATACCCCACTAGCCCCTCCCCCTCCATACCCCACTAGCCCCTCCCCCTCACGCCCCTCCCCCTCCATACCCCACTAGCCCCTCCTCCTCACGCCCCTCCCCCTCCATACCCCACTAGCCCCTCCCCCTCACGCCCCTCCCTCTCACACCCCTCTCCCTCCATACCCCACTAGCCCCTCCCCCTCCATACCCCACTAGCCCCTCCCACTCTTCGCCGCGGAGCCCGGGCCCAGGGTGAGTCGCAGCTTCGCGCACAACCGAAAACAAACAAACATCAACACTGACACTCACACGCCGAGACAATCAACATTCACGTCGCGCCGCCGCAATCGCTGTCATCGTTGTGTTAAAGGTAAATCTTTTGCCGTTTATTTCGCCACCTCTCCCCAACGACCGACCCCTTGGGGCCTTTGGGCTCCGCCGGCCGAGGCGCCTCCTCTCGGGCTGCCGAGTCAGGCGAGTCCGAGGCTCTGCGGGAAAGCGGAACGGCTTCGGGGGTGACCCCACCCGCCTCGCTCGTTCCCCGTTGTTGTTGTTTGGTCGGCAAGTTATCCTTGTCGTTTAGATCGTTTGAGACGCGGGGGTCGGTGTTCGAGTCGACAGTATCTTCGTCGTCTAACCGTGATCAGCATTCGTGTTTTAAGCACCGGGACACGTCATCGGCCTAGGGAATCAACCGCGGCCGAGGCGGTCCGCGCCGCCGGAAGAGACGGAGCGGTGAAGTCATCCGTTCGTGTGCAGGTTGCTGGAGTGTTGATACATCCCAGTTATCGTGCGAGGTGGCGGTGACGGCTTTGGGAGGCATTCATCCAGCAGTGGATAGAGCGTGCCTGGCGACACGTACACGGCATAGGAACGTGGACAGGTGGCTGCGAGGTTGTAGCGTATAGAAACATCGCAGTATCGTGAGAGATGGTGACGGCTTTGGGAGGCATTCATCCAGCAGTGGATTGAGCGTGGCTGGCGACACGTACACGGCATAGGAACGTGGACAGGTGGCTGCGAGTTAGGCCACAGTAGTATCGAGTTCGTGGGGTATTTTGCGCGGAGGTTTGGGTGATTTCCCTGTCATTGTTGGAGTGTTTTTTTGTTGTCTTCCGGATGCTACCGTTTCCTCCTACATGGCAGACAAACTCGTCATGGAAATCGGCCGAACGGCCCTCCCCTTAATGCAGCGGAATCCTGAAAAGGAAATCGGATTGAGAGACGCGGCGAGGTTTTCTTCTTCGGTGAATCGAAGACGTTTGAGTTTCCAGTGCAGAATTGGGATCGCCTCTATCGAGCCATCGCATTTTTGACGCTATTATACAACCTCGTCCTTCCAATAATAGAACGTTGGTAAAATTGTTTGACTTGTGCGGCAGTACCACGGTCATGTGAAGTGAATTTTGTCCGTCTTAGGAATGTGTGAATTCCCACCACTGACGAAGGGCTGTGAAAGGGATATAGTGTTACCACACTTGAGTCGAATACATTGTAAGGTCTAATGTTTGTGTGCGTTTAATACGTTTTCGTGACATGTATTGCTCGAATGATAAGCATGTGTTTGGGAGGAAAATAAAAACAACGCATTGGAAACCCAGCGAGAACGTATATTTAGAATGGACGGGCGGGGAATTTGATTGATCTAACCAAGAGTCGTCGCGTCTAATCAATACTAAAAATTAAGGAACGTGCTTTGGTGGTGATGTGCAAATACAGACAGAAACACACCTTTGCTCATGAACATTGACTTACAACAAAATACTAAGAGGTTAACGTTTTTGACAATTGCCCATAAGAGCAGGACGCCTCGTTAACCTATTGTCTAATTTTGTTGTAGGACAATGGTAATGATCAAAGCAACTTGTTTTTTTTAGCATGTTTCACTTCTGACATCTGTGCATCACACGTCCATGGCCATGTGGAATTTGCTTGATCGGTGGTATTTTGACCATGTTACTGGGAGACATGATGAACCTTAAAATACAACCGAGCATCTCCTATACATATTCATCGTGGAGCATGTGTTTTCTATTTGTTTTTCAGGATGCTACAAAGTTTACTGATTGTAAAATCTTAATTTTCCACAATTAAGTGAGAATCACCTGATCCTCCTGCTCCTGGGACTCTACTTTCACTTTGGACTCCTCCCAGCCCACTGCTTCGCCTCTGCTCAAGTCATCGCTGTCATGGCAAACCGTGGCATGGCCAGCAGGCCCAACGGCCAGGTTGCTGGTAACAAGATGTGCCAGTTCAAGCTCGTGCTACTCGGCGAGTCGGCTGTGGGGAAATCAAGCCTGGTGCTGCGGTTTGTGAAGGGTCAGTTCCACGAATTCCAGGAGAGCACTATCGGTGGTAAGTGTGATGAATCAATACCTACCCGGGCCAAGTGTTTGGAAGGGGCAAACTAAACATGACGTTAATTTTCTTCTAAAATTCAGCAACAGCTTATGGCATCTGTTGCAGCTGCCTTCCTGACGCAGACGGTCTGCCTGGAGGACACGACGGTGAAGTTTGAGATCTGGGACACGGCCGGGCAGGAGCGCTACCACAGCCTGGCGCCCATGTACTACCGCGGGGCACAGGCTGCCATCGTTGTGTACGACATAACTAACCAGGTCTGGACTAAAGTCACCAACAACCCCTGCTGTTAAATCCACGGCTTCACGTATCAAGAACAGCTTTGAACAGATGCCCGTGCATGTACCGTGGCAGGGCACAAATCATTGTAGGAGCTGATATTCGGTTTTGTACACCCTTGAAGTTGTTTGGGATGTGTTCACCCAAAATTAGCTCCTGCACGTGCAGGTGGTAGATCGATTGAGCTGCAAAACCATAACGTGATAAATTTGAGAGGCTGTCTTCCAGCAGTGGATTGATAATGGCAGATGGTGATGTTGATGATCCAACAATAATGTTAACTGGAGACCTTACATACTAGGTTTTTGTAATATACATAATGCAGTATTTACATTTTCAGGGGAATTTACGAAGAATGTCTGTGTTGCATCACCAATATTAACACTGTGTGTGTGCTTGTTTTGCAGGACTCGTTTGCAAGAGCAAAGAATTGGGTTAAAGAGTTACAGCGGCAGGCAAACCCGAACATTGTGATTGCTCTTGCAGGAAACAAGACAGACTTGGCCAACCAGAGGACAGTTGATTTTGAGGTAAAGGTTTGCAAGTAATGGGAGCCCATTCAGAATATTAAAACACATTGGCTGTCATAATTTCTGCAGGTTTGTCACAGTGCTTGTGTGGTGTTACAACAGTCATGAGTTCTGAAATTGAATCGTTTTTTATGTTTTACCTTGCAGGAGGCACAGGGATATTCAGAAGACAATGGACTTTTGTTTATGGAAACATCTGCAAAAACAGCCATGAATGTGAACGACGTATTTTTGGCTATAGGTGAGAAGTGCAACCAAAAGTACACGTGCTTTTTGAAGCTGCTGCTCTGTAGCTTGCATGTAATTTCACTGCAATAAGTGTAGTTGACAAGGATGTATCAGAGCGATAATGTAAAGAGTACCCGGGGTTAAAATGTTTCGTCTCCTATGCCTCTTGGTAAGTGAAAACCTCCACCCACGTTTGTTCTGAAATGCTGCCAGGGCTTCTCCTTTAAGGTTACCTAAGTGTTATACTACAATTCCTGCCTTTTATTTAGATTATAATAGCGGCAATTTGTTTTACGTGCAATTTTCCTTAAAAGCTTGCTGTGAGTCATATTTTAAATGCTTTCTTTTAGGACTAGAATCATATTAATGCGGTATATAAAATGTGATATATGTTGCAGTTTGTGCATCGTTTATTGCCAGACCTTTTACAATGTATTTTTCCTTGTATATTTTAGCCAAGAAGCTACCGAAAAACGACCAAAGTACACAAAGCCGAACTAACGAAGTAAATTTCGATCCTACTCCTCCAAGCAGAAGCCAGTGCTGTGCATAATGACTTCTCCATGGCTGAATCCACCTGTGTACGCTACACAGTACCGTCGCCCCCATCGAGCATCCTTCCTGCGTCTCATTACTTCCGGCCCCCCATATATTACGTCTCTGTTGCTGGTGTGCACACACGTGGGAGCATAAACATTTAATGGTGAATTAAACTGTAACTGAATATGATCTCATTTTTCCCCCCAAATGGCATTACAGCTTGATCGCTTATATTTTTGAAAGTACTATGATACATTTTGGAAACACTGCTACATCACTAGACCGCTTGGCATCCCAGACTTCTTTTAAATTATTTTGAAATCTGAGATATGGACGTTGGCAATTCTGTAGTCCCTTTGTATTAAACATGTTGCATTGTAACATCAATCTATTTGAATCTGTCGAGACACAGCATCCACTGTACATACTTGAACTCTCATGGATATCATACAATATAGATGACAGCAGTGATTCTCTACTTTTTTTTATCAATAGTCCCGCAGTCACCATATAGTCCCCATTATTTGAGCAGTGATTTGGAGGTGTGTTGGAGGCATTGGTTCTGTCTGATGCCACTACCGAACTGGAAGCCCTAATGATCCCTTGGCTGTTCAGACCCATACTATGGTTTGTGGAGACCCTGGGTGTCCACTCCCAGAAAGGGGATCCCTCTTGTGTGTACAGTAATATACATTTTAAACCTCAGTGCCATGCAAAATCACAACACGATTGAGTAATCCACCAAAATATTGGAACATCTGCCGTCACGGTAGCATATCGCGGTGCCTGCAATTTCTGCATGCTACAGCTTTGGTGCTTCTAATTCCTAGTGGTGTTTGCCCACCTGTCTGCATAATGCCCACCAAGTAGTGCTCATGCGGACTTACTACCAGCTGTGTGAGGCTCCTCTTGACTGATACCCAGCTAATCTGTTAGTGTAACCTTTGTGAATGATTTGCCTCGGGAAGTGGGATTTTTTTTTCTTTTAGTGGGGACAGAAACATTAAAATGGTGGTTTTTTGTGCATTTTAATGTTTTAGGTTATGTTCGAAGATACCTTTAACTATAAAACAGTATATATAATTGTAAATAAAATATCGTCACCTTAACCAATTTGAATAAATCCTCTTAAAAGTACGGAATAAGATGTACTGTAATAAGAGAGCAATTTAAACAATATTTGGTGCAAACTGAATATCTTGTGTGCAAACAGCAGCAGCATGAAACTCTTCTCAGATGTTAAGTATATCATTATGTAAAACTGATCATGTATTAAAATGTCCTGTGTTGCTTTGCTAATGTCATTTTGAATTAAAATAGGAAGTACCACTTCAGTTTTGCATTTCTTCAGATGCAAGTGCAGCATTATGCAAATATAAGCAGTTAAAACTTTTTAAATGTTAAAATTAATAATGAACATATACAAATATTCTTTAATATAAATAAAGTACTGTATTATGGCTGTTACACAACTTAAACACATAGCATCAAACGTGCACAGTATTTAGCGTTAAAGTGGTTCCATGTTTTCGGTTGCTGAGAATAATACATTTTTAATGATGTTGAAATAAAGTCCATTTATGAAAATAAATTTCACCTGGTGGGTAAATCTTGTCTGCCTGGCCATGTGGAAAGCTGTGAAATTTATTTTTACCATAATGAAAATATCTCCTACATTTAATTCACAAGTTAACCGATGGCGCTTTTTTATTTAAAACAATCCTGCAATGAATACAAACTGGAAGCACAACTGCAGTGCCATCTTTAAGATAACGGATTTTTAAATGTTTCCAAATTTGTATCCCTATCAAATAATGAGATGAAGCATCCATTCAGAACGCTCAGAGCAGTGCAGCCCTTGTTGAAGAACGGCCCCCTTACAGATGTGGATATTACTGAGCTAGATCTGAACCCTTTCAGTAACATCCGGTCTACGCGATAGGGAGGAATAATGTTCGTTGCATGATAGTAAACTAATAATTTCATTATAGCTTGAATTTTGTCACATGGCAGAACCAAATGTATATTATAGTATTTTCTCAATTTTTGGTTGTACTTCTAAGGTTGACGTGGTCCACTTGATAGCCCATATTAATCTCAAGCGGCTGCCTGGATTTACAGCCAGGATCTTGGTGATGTCGGCTGTGCGCTTGACGTCTGTGCCACCAGCCCAACTGTTAAGAGAGAATGCTTTTTCAAAGTTAAGGGAATGGTATAATTTTTCAGAGTATGACTTACATTTCAACACGGCATCGTTGCAAGCAAATATTTTTTTAAAGTACACGGCCCAAACATCAAGGGGAGTCCAGAAGAATGTTGTGAGACCGGATTTTTGAAAAAATAGATCACATGCTTTGTAGTTGCGGCTGTGGCTTGAGAATGCACTGTATAGCATTGAAGTTAGAAACCCATACTTTGTAATGTTACTGTTATATCTGTCTAATCCTTATGGGATTGTTTCTTCAACACTATACAAACTTTGGATTCAAGTTTGTTTTAAGTTCTACTTACATTCTCATGGGCCTGCAAACATGGGGAAGTGGGGGTAATTTGCATTTCCAGGTTTTTCGCGTGACCATATTTACACTACACGTTCACCAAAATGCGATGACACAAAAGGAATCGTGTAAATATCGACAGAAAGGGTCATCACAACCCAGCACATACTTTTGAGCCTGTTGACAATGCGTAGTAGAACACTCGGGCTAAAGTATTCTGACTTGCATCTTTGTTAGGCAATGCGGTTAAAGCCCGCGTTACGAGTTAATGGGAATAAACGTAGCCCACAAATAATAAACTTGCATCCAGGCAGTCCTTCCAAGTGACAGCTCATTATTGGGCTTGCAAGGTCGCAACATTTCCCATTAAGTCAGCGTAACTGCACTACAGTACATGTTTGTAATGTGCCCGTAGCACATTACTACATTCCTGCAATACCTGGGGATGACGCAGACGACTTCGCATATATATTGTTCCGCAAAGCATGGATTGGCAATGTTTCTCAACTGCTAATCCGCACCTCCGATTAGCTGGGTCGGAAAGAAGTTGAACATACATACACGTACATTGTCGTTTGGGTTGAAGCTAATAGTTTACGGGACACACACCTGTTTGTTGCCAGCACCGACACTTGATGCGCGAGCACTTGCCCTAGGAGGAGTTAAATGAGTCGCCAGATTCCTAAGCCATCATGTCTGCGAGGTCTCCAATTGACCATGGCCTGCGCGTCAAGCTGGTGCTGATCGGAGAGTCGAACGTGGGCAAGACCAGCCTGCTGAGACGTCTCACGCGGAACCAGTTCATTCCCAATGAGGTCGCGACCGTAGGAGGTAAGCAGGCTCAATGTACTTGGAAAAGATACGTTTTCATGCTATCTCCGTGGTCGCGTGGATTTTTCTCCGGGTCCTCCGTTTTTTTCCCCTCCACATTTAGAAACGTGCGTTTAGAGTATTTGGCTGCTGCTATGAATGTCCACATGATACGCCCACTTCGTTGGGCTATCATTTGTGGCCAGGTCGCTGCTGAAAAATAGCTATATTGCTCAGAGGGTCTTACCTGGTAAAATAACAAAACAGTTTAGAATAATTCACAGACTTCTGCCAATCCACTGCTGGATGACGGCCTTCCGACAGCGTGTCAGTCATGGGAGGCTGTCAGAGACGGTGAATGGGATACGCAGGGTAGCTTCAGATACCACTCGCTACACTGATGTTAGCATTGGCCAGGAATTCAAAATCAAGTCGTGCAGTGCACTGCACTATGCAGTGCATCACCACTCCACCCAATCAATTTAAAGGGTGGTCCAGATGTCTTGTGACCTCCATTTAATTAAACGTGATATTTGGGAATACCAAATTTGCATACCGATTAATTGGGGGTCACAAGACATCTGGACCACCCTGTATATTATATTTGTAAATTTTTATTTTAAAAAAATAGGATTATTCAGAAAACAAAAAAATACGTGGAGCAGTAACAAGTACATTGTGCTATGGGCCCAGCGAACTGGGTTCGATTTCAGGCCATGGCTAACATCAGTGGTGACTGACACACGAACTGAACCTGGGCAACTGGTCCACCCAGCACCAACCTGCACGCACCCAGAAACCCCAACAGAGTGATGTTGCCATCATCCAGCAGTGCCAATAGAGCCGTACGTGTACATAACGAATATATTGCACAATAAAAAAAAAACGCCACGTACTTGCGCCCCTCTCCGCTTGGCTTCCTTTCGGCAGTCGCCTTTCAGAGCTACGTGGTACACCTGGAGGAGGCGCCGGTGCGCCTTGAGATCTGGGACACGGCCGGGCAGGAGCGTCACCGTATGCTCACCCCTATCTTCTTCCGCAACGCCGAGGCAGCCGTGCTGACATACGACATCAGCAGCCAGGCGCGTAGACGCACCACCGGCACTGACGCTGCACATATCTGTTCGTTCGCCCTCACCTCGGTTTTGTCACCTCTGCAGAACAAAAAAAACGAGGGCAATTCGTGAGAAGAATATCTCACGATAAATTAATTGGTTGAGTACCGCACTGTCAAGCAACTGACAAAAAGCAGGACTTTTAAAGTGAGTGGTCTTGAATGGAGTTATGATCCTGAAGAAGCTCCCAGCACGTGGAGCAAAAACGTCGGACATCATGCAGAACGCGCGGTACAACCGGAAAAAACAAGCGGGGAACTACACAGCTTGGCCACAAAAACCCTACACAGTCGTCATACTAGCTTTCAAAACAACAACAACAAAAACTGAAATCCACATCCGGTAAAAAATACAACTGAGAAATGTAACGTGTCAAATTGTCTCTCCAGGAGTCCTTTAACAAGCTCCAGTTCTGGATAAGCGAGCTGAAAGAGAAGTCGCATCCGAACATGGTGATGGCTCTGGCTGGGAGCAAGTGTGACCTGGAGGCCTCAAGACAGGTTCAGCACGAGGTACTGCAGCGTTCACCCCACGTCTGCTCACTCGCCAACATTGCCATGCTCTCTGACACTTCTTGCTGTCTCTGTGTATGTTTCCGCGGTTGTGCTCTATTGCTCTGAGAAATATTTGTTTGGGTTGTACTGTGAACCTGAATTCATTTCCTGCAGATCGTCTCAGCAGGTGGAGGGAAATGTCAGACATGTGAACAACACGTGGTATTTCTTGTCGTTTACAACTAAATTGTAGTATCAGTACATTACATTTTCATGGCAAATGCCTCGGCCGACCTACGTAGACCTTCGTATATCTGTAATTATTGAACCTATAGTCATGAAGAACATTTTGCTAATTGCCTATGACGACATTATCCTGAAAGCATCCAGTCTCATCAGCTATAATAGTTGGGCACATGTGAGTGTAGAAATATCATCTCACCACTCTGCTCTGTATTCTAGGAATCAACAGCGTCATCCTAAAACATAGGTTTTCGTAGCCAATACGATGATTCATATTTGTTTTCGGGTTTAGCCACGTGGTGGTTTTATACCAAAATTGCCATTAACCTTTCACCACCTGACCAATTGTCACATTTAAAAAAATCTACGTCTTGACAATCGTGACAACCTTGTCAGGTGGTGGAGGCTAAATGACAATCATTTTTTTCTGCATAAAACCACCACGTGGCCTAACCCAAAAACAAATATGGAAGAGCATCATCATCACTCCAACAATGCAAGGGTCCATTGTGAGCGGTTGTGGCCGTTGTTGTCATTGAATGTCCATGCAACAATTCTTACGTTTGCTCGCTGCAGGAGGGTGCGAGGTTTGCCAGGGAGCATGGCATGATTTTCATGGAGACGTCGGCCCAAGCGGCCATGAATGTCACGGAGCTGTTTCACGCCATCGGTGAGTTTCGACGGAACATGTGGTTATGACTGGGGGGGCAGGGACCCAGGAGCTTTCCAGAGATCATGAAAAGCACCCAAAATGAAAAAACTCTATCACAAAGGGGTTTTTATAGTGTAATTCTTCTAATTGCAAAACACCCCGCTAATTTTCATGTTTTTTGCCACTTTGAAAAAAAGATTTACTAATTTTCTAAATTGCATAATGGCTGTGAGCGGCGACTGTCAAGAAAAATGCCATTATTCATTCATATTGCGCTTGTGCTGCATAATGTGTGCTCACCTCGGTGAACTTGCTAAAATGAAAGGACCAGGCATAATGTTCCATCGTGGGATGGACCATTCTTGTGTAGAAATAAAAACACATGGCAAACAAAAAAGAGAATCCCAATTTTACAAATAAACCTGCTCTACTTATAAATGTAATGGCGTGTTATTTTCTCTGGTCTGGTGGCTCCAGAAGTCGGAACAAGTGGCTCGCCACTGGAAAGTTGTGAGTTCAAATCCTGGTTGGGGTTTGACTCAGCCCGTCATTTCTCCGGGGTCAATAGTACGCAGTTCTGCCACAGGAAAGTGGGATTTTCACAACTAGCTTTCATGCGGTAAACGGGGGATGGTCACCTCAATGCATTGTTGAGCAGGAAGACTTTTGCTTTATTAGACTTTCTTTACACATTCATGAGCGACTGCTGTGATTCTATTTTACAGTGTGGCTGAGAAAAAAATAGTTTGTTTGATATTAAAATAATGTAATTGTTGTTGACAGCAGAGAGGGTGAGCAAGAGCCAACAGCTGAAAACACGGGACGACTTGAAAAAGAAAAGGAGTAAAAGCATCACCCTACAGCCTCCAATACAGGCCGAGAGAAAATGTTATCATTTGTAGAATTGCACATTCATGAAAATCCAAGGGAACAATTTGGAAGATTCTTTCACGTTATATATCAATATCAGTCATGGTCACTCCACTGCTAGATTCATAATAAATTACATAAAGCACCCTTCTGCAAGGTATTCAAATCGCTGCATATCACGAAAATAAATACATTGCTTCCCAAGGAAATGAAAAACGAAGTATAAAAGATCATTTTGGAGAACCAAAAGAAAATAAATGTGTCGAGGCGGGTTGTAAACTCCGCCATTGTCTCCGAATCGCAAATGACGTTGGGCAGGATGCTTGTTCCACCGCTGGGTAGCAGTGCATCAGGAGGCACGGTCACCCACTGTGAGGAGGAGCCACGTCCGAGGAATGCACAGAGGACACTATCCCATCGAAGACCAAAGCCTTCATGATGGCACACAAAAAGGCCTCCCCAAACCACCACCACCACCTCTTGTAATCCTGCGATATAATAACATCGTGAACAGCAGTGGTTCCCAATCTTTTTTTCTGGATCCCTGGGCCACTGCCAATCCTCAAAGTGTGCGGACCGCCACGCAGTAAAAAAATATGGTTTTATGAAAAAAATCGTACCTGCGACATTTCGGCAGACCACTTGGTTATCCGCCAGAGAATCAACGTCCAGTCGGCACTATTGAGTGTCGAGCGAAACCAGCTACGGTGGATGGGTCATCTGCTAAGGATGCCGACAGAAAGACTCCCCCGGGAGACGTTCTAATTACGGCATGCAGGCAAAAGACCCAGAGGCCGCCCGTAATCGCGCTGGAAAGATCGGGTGGTGTGCCTGGCCGAGGAAAGACTGGCGATCCGGGAGCCACAGTTGATGCCGCTGGCGTAGGACAGGGCAGAATGGAGCCCCCCGCGACTCGAAACGGGCCAATATTGATTGACTTCCCATGACGATCTTGTGGACAGATATGGCCTGCGGATCACAAATTGCGAATCACTGCTTTATCGCAAAATTAATTTGTAGGTATGCGTATATTGTAACTGTGAGAAATGTATTTCAATCAATTTGTAGATTAAACAACATTTTTACAAGTGCCGAATCATGTTTGTAAGAATTGGTAATGTACGGGTCGTGAAAATGTTCATACAAATTATGTGATTAGGTGCATTTGAGCGAATGGGCTCAAATGGACTCAAAATCAATATCTGCACCCGGAACAACACGTCCCGTACACCTATTGCTATGGTCACATATTTAGTGAGAAATTATGACCATGTTTTATGCACACAGTATATTTAGATGTCGTCAAATCTCTGCCCCCCTTTTTTTAAGCATGTCACTAAAACATTTTTCCTTCAAAGGTTTTTTGGCCATGATTAGCAGCATCTGGTTTTTACCATCATAATCAAATAACCACTTGGGCTCTTACTCAAGAGAATATGCTGCAAATAATTGTGTTTGGACCATATTCATGATTCTAAGTGCGTCAGATGCCATGTGGCGGGTAATTTGAGTCACGTAATTAAGGGCTCGTAATTCATAATAGTTAACAGTGGTTCATGTACATAGGTTGGTGTGTCATTCCATAATTACGAGGGCCTGTGTTTAAATGTAATTGACGGCATAATTGCGAGTGTTTAAAATAATGTCAGTTCTGTTGTGTGTATATAGCATATAGGAGTGTAAATACGCACATAAGGAATGCACACCCATATATTGTATATTGCAAACACGTATATAGAGTATATTGTACACACATACAAATATAATGCAGTGCAATTGAGCATTATGGACTCAAATCCATAAGTACCAAGTTCATTTCATCGTTAAAGTTAAACAATTATTTTTTTTACTATTCTGGTTGGGTTAAACCAAATAAGCTACTAAATTATAAACTAATAACATCAAAAATGTAATGGCTCTTCATATCACCTACATCTATTTGCCGAAATCACCTCATATATTTTTACTTTAACGGCATTGTCACTGACGATTGTGTTGAATTTTGTTTGTGGTTATGCACCACTGCCAGCGCCATACAGCAGCACGATATTTTTTTACATCTTTATGATCAGTTATAAAAGGCGAGGCTTAAAAAAATGATCCCAACACTCAGACTAAAATGTGTGTAAAAAATAATTAAGTCCAGCATTAAGTTATTGTGATGTTTTTTTTCCGAACCGATTGGTCAAAACTTTGTAATGACCCCTCGTGCGGTACTGAGTTCGAATAAAACTGAAATAATCGTGATTTATTTTGGGACAATATTATCCAGTGGCCAAGAAAGCCACTTGATCAAATAGGGCTTAGACGGTATTTCTGCCCGACAAAACATTATTTAACTGGGATTTGGCCATAAAGGTTAAGGTCAGGAAAGGAGTGGGTGACAATCTAAAGCTCTAGCCATCAATAAGAACACCACTGTTGGCACTGCCCAATAGCCAATATTATATTTAATGACACGTTTCATTCCATAATCCATGCAACCTTATAGGTAAAGCTCACCGATCTATTACTCATTAATGTTTCATATACGTACGTGCAAGAGATACTGTATTTGCTTAACAGATATTTAATGCAAACACACGTCTGGTTTCGTATCTATGCTTGTCAAGCATACAAGTTTATATACTATTGTGTATTTCATTTAGGCAGTTTTAATACTTAATTTTGTATGAAGGATCAATGTTAATTTACATTACTTTGAAATAACAGCCAAATGTCCAATTTCACAAAGGTGTCAATTTGTTTTACAACCATGGTATTATAATTATAACATACATACGCCACATTACATCTTAACTTCAATGCTCATTACGTCATTACGTATGTAAACTTCAGAGATGAGTGGTGCACATCTGGAACCCAACACTTTGTGGGGAGTGAGGGCGAATGCATTACAAGCACAAGTCAATCTCCAACACCCACTCAGGCTGCTGCAAGGTGGCCAGGAAATGGAAGTAGAGGAATGACGACTTGTATCCATCGGTGTGAAACTTCTGAGTAGTATCCCCTCGTATGTGTAGGGTTTCTCTGGGTACTCTGGTTTCCCCTCACATGCCAAATTACTCATCGATGGATTTCGTCAAAGTCTCAATGCAAAAGCCTCTTGAACAATGTAATTACAGGCAATGCGGCTTTCCGGTTATACAAGGGGCATTAAAAAGTCCAAATGTACTTCTTGCAGCTGTGTTTCATGTAATTGCCTTGTGCCCGAGCAGTGCAGATGTCCATTAAACATCTTAACGTAATGGAAACCAACTATTAACTCACTTTGCGGAATATTAATTATAATTGCTTTATATGCAACAATAGCAGCAAACGTCACCTGCAAATACATGTTACTTCTTGTTCCCGTGCTTGCTAATTGTAAGTTCTCCAGGTGTGCCTCTGGGATTGATAAAATAATTCCAAAGCAGATCACTCCCACCTACAGATACAGGCATAAAACAGCTCTCGTAAAAAAAAAATTGCCCTTTCTTTTTTTGTATCCAGATTCTGCTATTGGTGCCATATCAAGCATTGCAACCTCCCCATGTTAGAGAATGGTCTGCAAAATCGGACTTCACTACAGCTGAGATCCCTTCAATTCATACAAATAATTGTTCTAGTATCCACACTAACAGCACTCTCCCACCCGCTCTGTAACAGATACATTTCATGACAATCAAACCGACACTTTTATTTCCAAGAGCTGGAATTGATCCACATTAAGTTGCAAAATGTTTAATTTAAAGTGACGGCTTATATGTGCGGTCATTGGTGACCACATTAGACGATCAACTCACTCTTCCAGAGAAGCCGGATTAATCACAGGCAACCTGCCTGGACTCAAACCCAGGATCTCAACGGAGCCAGCCCCACACTCCGACCCCCTAAGCCTCTTCTTAAAGGTTAAATAAGTCTCAGCCCCACACTCAAGACACGGTATTGCTTGAATTTGGTTTAAATGTTGTACGCTGTCACTTTTAAACTGGAAATAAAACTGGGAGTAAACTTATCGCATTTGTTGCGTCTTTCCAGATTACAGTAAAAAAAAGGTAACACTAACATTCATTTTTAAATGTTAGTGGCGAACAGAAATCAAGACTCAGTATTTGTTACCTGTTGGCAAGAATTTTATTTTTTTGTGGGGATAGCATGAATTTTGTAGGAACTGTGATTTAGAAGATACCTTGCTGATATTCAGTGCCCACCTTCACCTGTGATTTTATGGGGCTTCAAGACTTAGACTTAGATCAGAGGACGCCAAAAGGCGCCAAAAGAAGTCCTCTGGTATTTTGACGTCCTCTGGTCTAACACCGTTTTGAGACTAGGCTCAAAAGAAAGCTGTCTCTGGTGTGGACCAATCCGTTTCAAAGACAATGTATATATGTTTTTTGTTTGCATTCTGACCACAAGTATTGTGGTTAATGCAGACATGATTTCTTGTAAAAGGTTTCAGTTTGGTGTTTTAACATCTTAACACCTGTTTGTTGCCAGAAAAAAGGGGAAACCCTATTTCATAAACGACAACCACGACAATAAAAATACACTAAGCAAAATGAAATTTCCCTTTCAGTAACAATACAGATGCCGTAAAAAGATAACATTGTTCGTCGCAGATTCATTGGTAGTGGTGCACCGACACAAAATAACAAAAAAACGAATCACAAATGTCGATAGCACTGCTTTAAAAGGGAAAATATATCAGGCGACTCTTTTGGCCAATGGTCTTTCTTCATAGCATATTTTTTTAAATACAATTGTGTGCTATGAAGAAGGCCACTGCACAAAACATCACCTGTTGTGTCGAGATTATCAGTAAATTGATCAAAGCTCACCATCTACAGGCGCATCTTACACAAACCTTCTTCCACTGCGAGTCACCAATGCAATTTTCTCAGGTGTCACGCAGTTGTGGGTAGGGAAGAGGGTGTATTCTGCATTTTCATGGCCACAGCTGCGGAGAGAGCAGAGAATTATTCTGCTGCTGCTAAAGTTGCAATTTTTTTCATTGGTCCTCAAAATGTGCGGTGCTGTAGCTGGTGAATGCGCAGGTCGTTACAGTGGTTTGTTTTAATTTCATCCACAGCAAGCCATCATCTCTCTTGTGCGACCAGGTGAGCCTCTCTTGGTTCGCACACTGAGCTCACCGACAGCTCCTGTAAAGGAACATTCGGTTAAAATTTAAACAAATACAAAAATAACAATTTGTGTGATGGCTTTAACCCTCCCATCCATCATGTCCACGGTAGCGGACTGCTATTTAATTATACGAAACATTCTCAACACCTTTGGAAGGTCTTTTAAATATTAAAAGAGCATTAAAGTATTTTTTTCGCGTTTTGCTTTCAATAATTCATGGATCAGGAGATTTGGTATGGGGCCACGTAGGCTAGATTACGTATATTTGTCCTTTAAACCCAAAACTGATTACAAGTTCACGGTTCACCAAATTAGTGTGTATGACTACACAACGTACGTACATGCAAATGCTAAATGTATTTTCCATGATAGGAGTGGCACGCACACGGCACTATGAACCCAGCCACCCGAGTTTGATTCCTGGCTGAGGCCAACATCAGTAGAGGGTGAAATCTCAACAAGTCCTGGCTCCCTTGTCACTAAACCGCGCTGACCAAAGTATATTCAATCGATCCCCACTACACGAGAACGCACAGGGACGCCTTCATCCAACAATGGATTAACAAAGAGCCATAAATATTGAAATTATTTTAATGTGTTTTCATATGTATATATTTTTTGCTCAGCATATTCCAACTCTGAAGGTTCAAAACGATGGCAACCTCATTTTGTAATGTCAAGTGTGGTTACTTTTTAACCATTGTGTGCATACAAACATTATGCAATTCAAAATTGAAAGTATGGCTCTACTAGTAAGACTGATGTTTATTTTTAAATAATAATTAATAACACATCAATACACAAAACCTGGGTTCATTTTCTGCATCACGAAGCAAATGTACAGTCTCAGATTTAGTAACATACTTTAGCTAAGGTAAGTTCTCTTTGTTTCGCATTTGTTATGAGGGCTATTACACAATAACCAGGAAGCGTTTTTCACAATCGGTTAGCGGTTCCAAAGTTGAGAACAGGTAATCGTTTTCCGTGGAATTTTAGGAATGGACGCACCCATTGGCACCCGCGGGGGAGTACAAACGACAAGGTGGCGTAGGCCACCGAGTGGTTAATTTGCCCTCGTTTCTCGGTTAAATCCTGATTTGAAGCTTTCGTGACTGCAGGAATCCATACTCTTTGGTTCTTTCGGTAAAGTCACGTAGGTATAAAATAAAATAAATCACGACGTTTCGGGCGCAACACAAGCGTCCGTCATCAGGTGGGAAAGCATGGTCTGCTGCTGAGGCAGACTGTTTTAAAACAGTCCGAAACGTCGTGATTTATTTTATTTCTCAGTTAAAGTTAAGCGGTAAAGGTGCAGCCCTCCAATTGATGCCTCACGCCACTGCTGGCGGAGGTGCCTCCAACAGAGGGAACACTAGAAGTTACAAATTGGTCTAATCATCCAAACTGACCAGACGTCTTGGAAGAGATTGGCATACCTACACTTTTTCCCACCACACGTGACCTACCCAAGGACTAACTGTGGTGTATACGCACAGTTATACTGCTGGCTGGACAGAGGCAGAGATTGTTTAAGACATTTTCAACTGCCTTGTCAGGAGATCAAATCGAACCGGCGACTTCTAAATTGCAAGTCCAATATTCTGACCGTGACACCACAACAGTTCTCTTCGTTTCCAGTAAAAAATGTGCATTTCTTTAACGTGTGACAAAGTGATGAACATTTTATTTTCATCCGGTTACAGGCAAAGCATGCAATACCAATTTTAACAACCCTAATTCACACAAAGATCACAATTCATTAATGTGCTTTGATTTCGAGGTCTCCCTGCGAATTTCTGCTTCCGCCGTTAATGTGTTTGCGTTAAATTTAGGCGGTTAAGTAAGTGCGCGGCATGAAGAGAGACGCTCCGGTCACTGCAGAGTGGGTGTCGGGATTGGGGATGAGCAGGGAGCGGGGAGGGACGGTTGGGTGCCACTCCACGTCGCGCGGAGGCCGTCCCTCGCCCACGCACCTCGGCCCGATGTCAACGGCGGGGGGGCGAGCGGGGCGATAAAAACCCAAGCGGCGCACACAGGGGACCCCGAAGCTCCCCACCGCTCGCACCGCTGGTCGCCTGCTCCTCCTCCTCTTCCCACAGCACCGGCAGAGGCGGCAGTGGCCAGCCCGTACCCCTCCCTTCCGCCATCCCTCGCTGCCGCCCCACGTTTACCCACCGAGCAGTCCCCTGTAGCTTCCTGCAGCCCGTCGCCCATGGCCACGATGGGGGCTGCCTGCGTGGCGGCATGGATGGCGATGCTGGCGCTGTTAGCGTGCGGCTCACCGCAGCGCGGCTCGACGGCCGTAGGTGGACGAGCTCAAGTCCCTGGACAAGCCGTTCAACCAGGAACTGGTGAGAAATCTACATACTCCACCTAGGGTGGCCACCTGTCCTGGTTTTTTTTTTGCCAGGAATGTCCTCTTTTTGAGTTAACCACACTCAAACCCAACTACTTTACTTACGGATGATTTGTCTTGTCAGCATGAGAGCTACAGTCCGAATATCCTTCCTGGTTTTCCCAGGATCTTCATCGTTTTGCAGTAGCGTTCCTGGGAAATCTGTTAAATCTTCCGAGGACACATGGGGTGCTCCGGTGGCGAGGTATTAATTACTTTGCCTTATATACAAGAGGTTATGGGTTTGATCCGGACCCTGACACCTGTATATTTGTAGTTTGCATGTTCTCCCCGTGGTCGCATGGATTTTTCCCCGGGTCCTCCGGTTTTTCCCTCCACATTTAGAAACACGCGTTTATAGAGGGTTTGGATGCGATAAATTTCCACGTGATAAGCCACTTCGTTGAGCTATCATTTGTGGCCAGGTCACTTATGAAAAAGATCTATCCAGCTCAGTAGGCCTTACCTGGTAAATATAAAAGTTTAGTTTATAGTTAATCAAAAGTCCCAGATTTTATTATCAGTCGTGAAATAATACCCCACTCAAGACAATGCATGAACGTGTAGTTCCGCCCTCGTCGGTTATGGTGAGACATCCTTCATCCTGTGGCACGTCCCAGTTATTCGTACCTCAAGACGTGGCAACCCTGTCTGCACTGCGGTGTAGCTCCGGCGCAGATGAGTCACCGCAGAGCGGGTAGCGCGCACTGGCTCTGTGGCGCACACGCACAGCGGCAACACCCAGCGATGTCGTCCTTCCCCCGCACCTCTGATTAGCACGGTTGGCTACGTGCAGTGCGAAAGAAGTTCAACGTACATACATAAATATTAGCAAGAAACAAACTGGATTAAACGTATATTAAGTTTTCATTATGCAATGTTACATGTGAAATCAATTTACGTCAATATTTCCTAGTTACTTGATAACAATTTTACATTCATGCTTGTTAACCATTTTACATGCAATCTCCCATCCAGCGTGCACCTCTGTACGTGCGTATACGGGCGTGTTTTAGCGTGTGGCTGTACGAAAGGTTGATTATGAGTTCTACCATTATACTTGGATACATTTGTGATGCATTTCCATTCCCACGACCACATAAAGCTCATAAAGGCACACACCATTGTGGATTGTACGAGTTGTTTTTCACGTTTAATGCTCACGCATACTCACGAGACAGACCAGTAGTAAAATGTGTCCTCATTTTAGTTTTATAATTTTTTACTTCATTACATTCCTTTCAAGAAAATATAGTTTTGAATATTTTCTGATTACGTTTATGCGAGTTCGCTACATACAGCATTAGGAACTGCACACATTCTTAATGTTGCCATTAACTTTGCACTCGGTTTCTGTAAAAACGCAATGTTTCCTTTGCAGCCCAGGTGCACGGAGTTATGCATCTTTATGTATAACAACTTGAATGGTGCTCACTGTTATCCTGATCCGATTTCCGAACTAATGGGACTCAACATTTCCTTAGTGTGGGCATAATGAACACAAACCACACTGGTTACTCACTGCCGCCTTGCGTGATCCTCAGCTGCCCAATGTCGTGGTGCCCCGCACCGTGCGATGGTTCCCGTAACTACCCTCTTAGCACTGACCAATTGCACAGTGTCATGGTGACATGCATTGCTTGACATTCAGAAACAAAACATTATAAGAGTGCAGTCTTATCCCCCTTCCAAAACACTTCATTCCTAAATACATCAGAAATTGAATCACTGGCCACTGGTATTTAAACACGTCCCTTGGCCTCGGATTAAACGAGTAGTTAATGCGCTGTGGAAACATCAGCACTGGGAAGGCAAAGTCTACCGGACGTGCTGCCGACCGCAACACCCCTTCGTGCGCCGTGCCCACCTTAATTTTGAAGTTCCCAACAAAACGACGACTGCACTTGTCCCAACCCGTCCGTATGGCTACACAACGATCTTTGTCTCTGTTCCGTGTCTGTGTATGCGCACGCGCGTGTGTCGCGACAGTTTTTGCAGTTGCTAAACGACTACTTCTCTCGGAGGAAACCCGACAATACGATGCCTCCCATGCCACTACCTCACGTGGCACTATCGCGCATGGCCCTGTCCCGCTGTGGGCGACCCGTGCTGGGTGCCACGGATCGCTGCTGACGGAGAGAGGCTCCTGGTGAGCCGTACGCATGAAGAGGCCATGAGTAAGTGTGCCACCTGCGCCACCCAACACCGCCGGTCAGATGCATCCACAATCAGAATCTTTATTTATCCCAGGGGAAATACGATGTGCTATGAAGCTCTTTTTGACACGTCCAATAGGGGCAGGTCAGAAAGTTACAAAAAAATGTCCAGTGTGTAACGTATAGGAAATCAAATCACGAAAAAGTGAATACGTAAAATAGATTAACTCTACTTGTAAAATTTTTTTATAAGTACACCAATTTCCAAGCTTGGGAAAGGCAGCAAAATAATAGTAAGATCAGTCCCAGAGCACACCAAGACAACGACACAGTCCCTCCATAAAAATAGCACGTTAAAATTTACTACAGCTTGAGTGGCATTTTCCCTAGTTTGTCATTTGAATAATTATAAATGTAAGAAGAGGCTTAACCACCACGGCCACTACGGTGTGGGGAAGGCTTTCATTATCTGATTTCCCAATTGGGTCAAAGCAACATAGCAACATCACCTTCGACTGGGAGACGATACCCGCCTCGGAAACATAGTGCCACAGTGAGTGGAGCAAATTACCGAATTTACTAATTATGATCATTCACTATGTAACACAATTTTTGTCCCTGGGTACGAAGTGTTATTTTTTTATTGCTTATGCCTAAAAAGTATAGAAAATGGCTATTATTCCCCACAAACTTTGCTTTTGTGACCAGGACTTTACGTGAAGGAATGACACAAATGCACACCGCGTTTTCTCATTGAAAATAGGTACATTTCAAAATATCACTGTCCTGGTCACAAAAGCAAAGTTTGTGGGGAATAATAGCCAGTTTCTGTACGTTTGAGGCATAAGCAATTAGGAAATAACACTTGCTACCCAGGGACAAAAAATAATGTTTTGTTACACAGCCATCCAGCAGCCCTGGATTGACTAGGGCTGTCAAGAGGGATAACAACAAAAAATCAAGACATTTTTACACGGACAAAAACTTAGTGTCCAATTCATTTATACATAGCTCACGGTATGTTATTATTATTTGTGCTTTGTCTTGATGGATTTTAGGTGGTAGTAGATTCGAAAACAGATACGGATGGATCTGTTGCACCACCAAAACAAAAACAATTATGTCCATCTGTTTCGGATTAATATTCACCCAGCAGCATTTGTTTAAGCAGTCAAATTTAGTACCAGTTTTGACTTTGAGTCTCATTGGGAGTTTGCATGCTAAAACAAACGATGCTGAAAAACCACGATAAAGGAAGGATATTAATCATGTGACGCAATTGCCATTATTGCATTCACGTTCATTTCACAAAAGCAATATTATTCCCACTTAGACTGAGCATAATTTTCTGCTTTGTACAACCTTATATTTACATGCTACGTATAGCATATGCATACATATTTATGTGTGTGTGTGCATATGAAGTAAAATGTACTGACAACTTCCCTCGAGCGTGGAAGAGATCGTGGATATCAACAGGTGCCCACGTGGTTAAAGGGCATGCAATAAAGTTAACACACAACATAGACATCATCCCGAATTTGCATTGTTATTACAATTATGGTAGGTTTGCAGCTTACATTAGCCGATTATGAAAACAAAATAAGGAAATAAGGAAAACTAAATAAGGGGTTCATAATCTAAAAGTCCGTCACCCGGGTGACGGACTTCTCTCTACTCATTAACGATGGCTTTGGGGTCTGCGACAAGTCGTTTTTTAAAGTGTGTTGAGTTTTGAGGTCGAAAAATTACACAATGGTTAACATGTAATTTGTACGTAGAATATGTTACGTGCTGTTGTTTACATGCTCCGGTGATTAATGTGTGATACGATATGTTTTGTAGCATATTCCAAAATGTTATGCAATGCCATCATCAGCCATGGTTAATCAACTGCTGGATGAAGGCCTCCCACCAAACCATCATCTCGTGATCCTGCAATGTAATAATAATACTTTAATTTTATATAGCGCCATTCATGCTAACAGCATCCCATAATGCTGTACATTAATTATAAAGGACCAAATCCCATATAAATCCACTACAAAGCAAATGAAAACCCCCTACTACCAAGCAAAATAAAAATGAATAAACAAATTGAGAAATTGAACCAAAACAAAAAGCACAAACAACAAAAAAAGAGTCTATCATTAGGTCGACACATCCCAGATCACAATCCCAACTTCCCAACCAAAGCAGGAAACCTTCGCTGGTGGGGCGGTGGTGGAGTGCCAAAATCGATCCAATGTCCAAAAAGTGATTACCTATTTTTCAGCATATGCCTGGATTAACAAAAAGGCCTTAAGTTCAGATTTGAATAATACTGGTGGTGTTAATTTGTCGGATGTGGAGTGGGAGGGTATTCCAGACTGCAGGGGCTGCAAATGAGAAAGCTCATCCACCAATGGTTTCAAGTTTCATTTTTGGTTGCACACCTGCACACAAATCGATTTCATTGCTCCATCTCCTCGGTGGGCAGCCCTCTGGGATGTCTTCCATCCCTCGGCTGCAATAGTACACTTGCCAATTTGTATTTTGATGATGATGAAAATAATAGTGCCATTTAGACTTATGTTGTTGCTTTAAAGAACGTGTTTTTATTTATTTTGCAGCTGCAGCAGAGGCCGCGCATGAAGCATCGCTCATCGGAGATAATTTATTGAGAAGCGGTGTGAAGCTCCCGTGAAGGCAGATCATCGTCCCCTTTTTGACAAGTGTTGTTTTATATTTAAGAAAGCGTTAAGACCTCTACTAAACGAACCCTGTACCAGTAAGATTCAAATGAAAGGAAAAACAATTGCATGTTTGTTTCCGTTTCAACAAAAAAACACAATTCTTAAAAATCACGTTCGTTAATTTCTCTTCCTATTCATCCGTCTCGAGGCTTCCGCATGCTGTACCCTTCTTGACACGTTCGTAAAAGCGAGTTGCATTGTATTTTAATGATATATTTGGTTTGCTATCAAAAACCATACTTTGCTGTCTTGATACCACTCTACCCCTGTATAATATCTTGCCAACAAGAACGAACATGTCCCTGCATTGTATAACTTATTAATACACAGTACTGCAAGTTACACTCTCATGGAATGGAAGTGCATGATTATAGGGAGATTACAATTGCAGAATTATAGGTAATTATAGGTAGGCGTAGCAATGTAATAACAACTTGTACAATAAACACATTGACTCGCAACACACTGCAGAATGTACAAAGAAGCTACGAACAAATATCGCATACATATTACGCCTGCAATACGTACAACCACAACACTTGAAAATAAAACACTACATCTGTAAAGGACCCAAGTCTGACGCTTGATAATTACCTACAACTTGATGTGGTACTGATGCCGTCTTTTATGGTCGATTTTTAATGCATTCTTTACACCCGTAACACAAGATTAGGACGTGATGTGTATTTATTTCGCCTCGAATGTTTATTTAGCACTGTAATATAGGTCATGCTTTAAATCGTATATTCATGTTCATTGGTTTAACGTTCTGTCACGTCGACTACGTAGGCTGCGATCAAATCCGCCGGAATAAAATGTTATGGAACCTCAGAAACCCAAATCGCACAGAGCCTAAATAGCTCTTTGGTGGATGATCACGTGCATAACAGTTGTTACAGGCTCCTGAGCTGCATTGTGGGCAACAAAGGACAGAGCAGCAACATCCTTTGTTGCACTGCACTTCTATGATCCCACAGCTACGCACACTGCCTTATGGGCAAATAACCCCCTGCCCCTTCCCCACAAACACACACGAAGTGGGAATGCTCTCATCCAGCAGTGGATTGCGAAATGTCTTTGTATGTATTGTATATGTAAACAATGATGAGGTGTGGTTTCATTAAGATGTGACGCGCATGCACGGATTAGTTTGTTTAAAAAGCACATAATACGAAATGTACTAAATGTATAAATGGCAGCGAAACCATATGCTTTATCGTGACCATTCTTTGAAACGCAGTGCTTGCCACCAAAACGCTAAATAAAACGTGCAAACATATATATTTACGAAGTACGCTGTGTATATTATTGGGCTGTGTATCAGAGGTCAGTTCCTCACTTACAATAACTCGCACCAATTCCACTCAAAGGATGACTAAGGTTCACCTTTGAAAATTTTAAAATAAATCAATTCCACGGGAGGTATCGTGACTGCCCGTCTCTAAAGGTCTCGTTAAACGTTGGTGAAATGTGGCAATAAATAATATTGATGAGGCACAGGAAAACCACTCCAGGTGCAAGGGGGGGCTGATGACCGTGGCCCACCCCGTGACATTTTGACAAGAAACCTGTCCAAGTATAGGTCAAGTGCCTGACTCACACTCATATTTATAGCTAGTGGCATGGCAAAACAACAAAAAAAGAACACAAATGTTTAGGTTTCATCAGAATGTCAGCCTGCTGGCCTTCCAGATCAAAGTTTTTCAGCAGAATTTATACAAGCAGGCCACCTATCCAATGGCTTCACATTTTTGAGTCTCATCAGCAGTCTGACCTGTGAGGGTGATGGATCTTAATGTGTTTTTTTAAATCGGGTTTCCCATATCCCCCCCACCCAGCAGTATGAATGAGTACACCACAAGTTCGACAGATAGCATGTGGTGGGGGAAAAAAGTGGGTACACCCATCTCTTCCAAGGCGTCTGGCCTGGATTGAAGAGTAGGCCAAATACCAAATAGAGAAGCTCTTTCGAGTTCCCTTTAGGTGGATGACCTTCCGCCAACAGTGACGTTAACAACAAATTGCTTATTTCGTATGGCTGATGTAGATGCAGAGCAACAACGCAAATTTCACTATTACCCACAATACAGACGTATATACAAATCCTCTTTGTACTTTTATTGCAGCCTGGAATGCTCTTCCTCTATATATTAGGAAGCCGTTGGCGCTATGCACTATTAAATCTAAATTGAAAACTCATTTCTTTGCAACTGCTTTTTGTGTTTAGTTTGTGTTCCTTCCCACGCATTTCTGATTAGCACGGTTGACTACGTATGGTCTGAAAGAAGTTTCAACGTGCATACATAAAACTATTATCAGAGAAGAACATGGAGCACATGCAGAACTGAATTTCAGCCGAGTCCATTGGAAAACATTTCTCCACTCGGCACACCACATCCAGTATACATATTGCTATGGCTGCTAGTCTCATCCAATCTCGAGGCTTACTCCAGTCCATCGGAGAGCCACAAAACTTTTCAGTAAGATATTAAGCCCAGCACAATTAAAGTATCCATGAGGAACGGTGGCGATTCAAGGATATAATGAACAAGGTGCACCAATGGAGGCACGGATACGATGAGCACCTATATCTAAATCTGCCATGTAAAACCCCATGAGATCAAAACTGTATTTTTATCCATGGGATGTAAGAAGCATTGTTCTGAAGATGTATATGAATGAAGCATTTGAGATATTAATTTGGGATTTTTTAAAGGCAATTGTCAGATCTTTTTTTTTTCTTTAAATTGCTTTTATACATCTCATTGGTTAACCTTTGCAACCTTTTAAAATTATTTTTATACAAAGTTAATCAGTAAAGTTTAACGTTACGTCATATTGAACTAATTTCAAGTTTTATAATTCGAAATCTTTATAATTACACTTTAATGCTTGAAAAGTAATTTTCATGTTAATAATTTAAACCACACGCTATTTTAATCATTCTCAAATGCATTCATCGATCTGGCCTGGCGGCACGGCTCTGCAACAAGCGGTGGCACGTGAGTTCAAATACAGGTTGAGGCTGACTTGAGTAGTCATCTCTCTGGGGTCAATGTAGGCAAGTCAATGGCCGTTGCTCTACAGACTTCCCCCCACCGCAGGAATGAGGAATTTCCACCGACTCAGAACTATACACAGATCAACACCACCCCAATGCTCATTTCAGTAGGAAATTACTTTTGACTTTTGTCATTACATTTTAATTGAGGTTATTCAATAATGTTGCTGTTATAAATTTCAATTAAATTATGTTTTTTATTCATGAGAAATCAGACCGAGTCTCAAGACTCTTTTTGAAGGTCCTTGCTTTTTAATATTTTATTAATTCCCTTTTAGAAATGTCACCTTTTTTTTAGCTGGTCAGGTGTCTCAGAGGTCGGAACGCTGAGCTGGCACCACCGAGATACTGGGTTCTCAAGTGAAGCGAGGTGATGATCTCAGCCTAGTCACCACTGACTGTACCAGAAAAAAACATTCAATTTGGTTCAGTACTTCATCTGGCTACATTTAATCTCTGAGAACTACAAATATCAGTTTGCCTCTTATGCGATAAATATTATTCCCAGTTGTTTGAAGGCATTTCAGAGGAAATTCTGTGATATTCATTGACTAGTGTTTGCTTATATGAAATGTTGCACTGTGAGATTAGAATGGAAACCTCATCTCATGACATGACAGACAGCACAATCAGGAAAAAAATGGGGAAAAAAGACGAGTATTAAAATACATTTCTTTTGTGTGATAATAACACAAACTTCAGTACCTGGAGAAAATCCATTTTACGACGGGAGAAGATTACTTTGCAAAGATGGGTTCATCGAACCCACTCAATTACTCTGTGCAATAGGCCACCCCATAGAGTTTGCTAGTTTCACAACCATCTATCTATGTTGGACGCTTTCGTGAATTACTCTTTGGTTCTTTCGGTAAAGTCACGTAGAAATTAAATTAAATGATAATCGAATACGACGTTTCGATTGCAACACAAGCAACCATCATAAGGTACAAATGAATGAGAAAACAAACATGGTAAACTTGGAAATATAATGCAATACAACACAGAGAGTCGGCCAACACAACAGTCAACACCCCACCCGGTTGATTACATTCTTCCAAAGATTGCTAAATTTGAGAGAGACAAAACATAGACATGGAGACACACAGACAGACACACAAGCAGAGAGAGACTCACACACATAGGCACACAGAAAGACAACATCTCTGTATCGAGGCCTTAAATAGAGAGAGAGGGGGGGCAGAGGGGGAGTTGTGTGGAATTCCTGCCCATAGCGGCCGGAGGAGAGAATGGACTTATAAACAAGCACGGAACAAGCACAGTAGAAAGCAAATTTAGTAAAATTAGGAAGTGTAATGGAATGCACACAGTTAACGCATAGCCTTGTTGATTACCTTCTTCCAAAGACTGCTAAGCCTCAAATCTAGTGTGAACCACCTCTACTGGGAGGGTGTGCCGTGCTTGTTTGTTTCACACTTAACTTCTAATTTCTCATTTATTTGTACCAGATGATGGTTGCTTGTGTTGCAATCGAAACATCGTATTCTATTATTTAATTTCTACGTGACTTTACCGAAATAACCAAAGAGTAACCATCTGTGTTCCACCAAACCTCGTCTCCAAAAGCGCTGGATCACTGGCACGTGGTGGGAAAAGCTGGCTACTTCAGTGACCACAGACTGTGACACGAAGCTCTGACGCAAATAAAATTCCCCCAATGTAGCCTTCAACAGCCTATTGGTGCACATGAATGGTAGCCAAAACGGGGCACGAAGTAGTGGCAGTGCCCACCACTACACCCCAGTGTTGATGTTAACACACCACACCAGGTGGTAATTTTTAGGCTGGGTCGACCCAGGGGACACCTAGAAACCGATTCAGATAATACTCCACGGATGTCAACCGTGGCTGGGAAACTAAATTAAATCACTGGATTCGCAGCGCAAGAGGCTAACCACTCCACCACCGCTCCACCTTCAGTCTCGCACACCCTCACACACGCACGGGTGAGAGTGCCCGGCAGATGATTGCGAGCGTTGTGTGCCCGAGAGGAAGGTGATGATGCTTACCGCTGGCACGGGTGGACACCGAGGTGAATGGGCTTTGTCCAACAGCAGCAGCCGTCTCAAGTGTCAGCAGCCACGAGCACAGCCGTCTCTGGCCCAGCAGAGCCTACAGCAGCATCAGCAGTAGAAGCATGAGCAGCAACATCAGAAAAATAAGTATCAAGAGCAATTTAAGGAACATCAGAAGGGCCATGATCGTCATCAGCAGAAAGAGTACACGCAATCAATATGACGTCAAGTCACTCTCTCATTCATTAATACAAACGCTGTTCACCACTGAGTGGCGGTGACGTCACTGCGGCACTTGTGCCATGCTAGGTGCACTTTGAGGCCACGTAAAATGTCGGAGTCCCGCTGGCAGTTCACACAACAGGCACATGGATTGACTTGAGATGGCTGGCAGATTGAACCAACTGTGTCGCTCCTCTGCCTCGCTGTTGCTGGAGGGTGACTGACTTGCCTTCAACTCCCAAGCAACGTCCTTCACGAACCTACTCCACAGGGGCCGATCTTGACACTGCTGGTACCAGTCATAGGAAAGTCCGATCAGCTCCGCATCCTTCTGTACCACATCACTCCATCTCGTTTAGCCCCTTCTATCCGGCCAAACAGAAGCTTCTTCGGCGTGCGGTGGCTGGGCATGGGGCTACATGACCCAGCCAACACAGTATCGCTTGCCGGGAGGAGCTCACGGATGGAACTGTGTCCAAATCTTTCAAGGATCTGTGAACTCCTCGCACAAATGTAGCCAGACTATTTCCAACCAGTGCAAAAGTTCCATTAGAGAGCTCCACGTCTCGCAAGCAATAGAGAAGGGATGGCGTGACTTTTGGCCGAGAAGACATGGAGCTTCGCGTGGAGCGACAGACCAGGTAGCTTCCACACAGCGTTATGCAGCCGATGAAAAGAAAATGCCTGCTCGACTGATTCGGAGCGAGACCTCAGCTGCCAAATCAGAGCCGGTCAAATGCAACACTGCCCAGGTACGGAAACTTCTCCACTCTCTCCACAACTGCCCCATCACTCACCACGGGGAGTTGATGAATGGGGAGCATTTGATGACAAAAAGATACTGGGGCACGTATTTAATTAATAATTCACTCGTTCTTAATGGAACCTACCATCTATCTCGCTTTTTCACCGACACGTTTCATTGCTCCATCTCCTCGGTGGGTGCTTTCTCGACCGCGCTCCCTCCGCATCTTAACCTCTACGACCGGTCTCTGAATAACGTTCCCCTGCCCCCGTGCTTTTCAATGCCCCCATACCCATGGCCTAGGCCTCGGCAAGGCAAGATAACGAGCCAACCTTTACCCTACCACAATACAATCACTCTACCCTACCTTTTACCCTTTAACAAGGTAAAAATCAACGAGCCTACCTTTACCCTACCTTTTACCCTTACCCCATACAAATGATCTGATTACAGGGTAATTACTGGGGTACTACTACACATGAAAAAGGTTTATAATGGTAAATGCTAGGCAGAGTGCTTTATTCATATAGAATACTCTCGATGATTCCAATTTTACACGCTTGTCATTGTTGTCGTTGTTGTATCCTCAAATCTTGTAACTCAATTTTAACCCACTTCTCAATGTGGCATCGACTGCAAACTTGGTATACTTATGTCATACTGATGACAATACTATATTCTATCATAAAAAAATCTATATTTTTAAACATTATTTGTTATATGTTATGTTTCGGCTTGGGTCTAATTGTCCATGCTCAAATGTTGGCTGTAATTGACCACGGTCCCTTACGTTATGGCAAGCTTCGGGGCCACTTCCTGGAGTCGTGGAGTTCTGCCATTACTAGTACATTTCATAAAAGCGTGTTTAAAAAAAAAAGTGTAAAATAAATATTACTTATTAAATGGAGGCCACGGACTGCGCCATTTTTACCGGGTAATACGTCGCGCTACCTTTACCCTACGTGGTAATTCTTCCGAGCTACATTTACCCTACCCATTACCTTACCCCTTGGCATGTTGACACCTTTACCCTTTAACCCGATAAAAAGGGTGAATTACCTTACCGAGGCCTACCACGGCCCCCATACCCATTCACCCCCCCCCCAACTGCCCCCCCCCCAACTGCCTCCCTCCCAACCGCCCCCCTCCCAACCGCCCCCCTCCCAACCGCCCCCTCCCAACCGCCCTCCCCCCTCCCAACCGCCCCCCCCTCTCCCAACCGCCCCCCCTCCCAACCGCCCCCCCTCCCAACCGCCCCCCCCTCCCAACCGCCCCCCCCCTCCCAACCGCCCTCACCCCTCCCAACCGCCCCCCCCCTCCCAACCGCCCCCCCCCTCCCAACCGCCCTCCCCCCCCTCCCAACCCCCCCCCTCCCAACCGCCCCCGCCCTCCCCCTCCCAACCGCCCCCCTCCCAACCGCCCCCCTCCCAACCGCCCCCCCTCCCAACCGCCCCCCTCCTCCCAACCCGCCCCCCCCCTCCCAACCGCCCCCCCCTTCCCAACCCCCCCCCCTCCCAACCGCCCCCCCTCCCAACCGCCCCCCCCCTCCCAACCGCTCCCCCTCCCAACCTGCCCCCCCTCCAACCGCCCCCCCCTCCCAACCGCCCCCCCCTCCCAACCGCCCTCCCACCCCCCTCCCAACCCCCCCCCTCCCAACCGCCCCCCCCATCCCAACCGCCCCCCCTCCCAACCGCCCCCCCCTCCCACCGCCCTCCCCCTCCCAACCGCCCCCCCCTCCCAACCGCCCCCCCCCCCTCCCAACCGCCACCCCCCTCCCAACCGCCCCCCCCCTCCCAACCGCCCCCCCCCCTCCCCAACCGCCCCCTCCCCCCTCCCACCGCCCCCCCCCTCCCAACCGCCCCCCCCCTCCCAACCGCCCCCCCCCTCCCAACCGCCCCCCCCTCCAACCGCCCCCCCCCTCCCAACCGCCCTCCCCCCCCTCCCAACCCCCCCCCCTCCCAACCGCCCCCCCCCCTCCCAACCCCCCCCCTTCCAACCGCCCCCCCCCTCCCAACCCGCCCCCCCCTCCCAACCGCCCTCCCCCCCCTCCCAACCCCCCCCCCCAACCGCCCCGCCCTCCCCCTCCCAACCGCCCCCCCTCCCAACCCCCCCCCCTCCCAACCGCCCCCCCTCCCAACCGCCCCTGCCCTCCCCCTCCCAACCGCCCCCCCCCCTCCCAACCGCCCTCCCCCCCCCTCCCAACCCCCCCCCCTCCCAACCGCCCCTGCCCTCCCCCTCCCAACCGCCCCCCTCCCACCGCCCCCCCCCTCCCAACCGCCCCCCCTCCCAACCGCCCCTGCCCTCCCCCTCCCAACCGCCCCCCCCCTCCCAACCGCCCTCCCCCCCCCTCCCAACCCCCCCCCCTCCCAACCGCCCCTGCCCTCCCCCTCCCAACCGCACCCCTCCCAACCGCCCCCCCCCTCCCACCCGCCCCACCCCTCCCAACCGCCCCCCCCCCTCCCAACCGCCCTCCCCCCCCCCAACCGCCCCCCCTCCCAACCGCCCCCCCCTCCCAACCGCCCTCCCCCCCCTCTCAAACCGTCCCCACCCCCTCCCAACCCCCCCCCTCCCAACCGCCCCCCCCCTCCCAACCGCCCCCCCCTCCCAACCGCCCCCCCCCTCCCAACCGCCCCCCCCTCCCAACCGCCCCCCCCTTCCCAACCGCCCCCCCCCTCCCAACCGCCCTCCCCCCCCCTCCCAACCCCGCCCCTCCCACCGCCCCCCCCTCCCAACCGCCCCCCCCTCCCAACCACCCCCCCTCCCACCGCCCCCCCCTCCAACCGCCATCCCCCTCCCAACCGCCCCCCCCTCCCAACCGCACCCCCCCTCCCAACCGCCCCCCCCCCCCTCCCAACCGCCCCCCCCTCCCAACCGCCCTCCCCCTCCCAACCCGCTCCCCCCCCTCCCAACCGCCCCCCCCCCTCCCAACCGCCCCCCCTCCCAACCGCCCCCCCCCTCCCAACCGCCCCCCCTCCCAACCGCCCCCCCCTCCCAACCGCCCCCCCCCCTCCCAACCGCCCCCCCCCCTCCCAACCGCCCCTCCCCTCCCAACCGCCCTCCCCCCCCTCCAACCCCCCCCCCCCCTCCCAACCGCCCCTGCCCTCCCCCTCCCAACCGCCCACCTCCCAACCGCCCCCCCCTCCCAACCGCCCTCCCCCTCCCAACCGCCCCCCCCCCTCCCAACCCGCCCTCCCCCCCCTCTCAACCGTCCCCCCCCCCCTCCCAACCCCCCCCCCTCCCAACCGCCCCCCCCCCTCCCAACCGCCCCCCCCTCCCAACCGCCCCCCCTCCCAACCGCCCCCACCCTCCCAACCGCCCCCACCCTCCCAACCGCCCCCACCCTCCCAACCGCCCCCCCCCCCCTCCCAACCGCCCCCCCCCTCCCAACCGCCCCCCCCTCCCAACCGCCCCCCCTCCCAACCGCCCCCACCCTCCCAACCGCCCCCCCCCTCCCAACCGCCCCCCCCTCCCAACCGCCCTCCCCCTCCCAACCGCCCCCCCCTCCCAACCGCCCTCCCCCTCCCAACCGCCCTCACCCTCCCAACCGCCCCCCCCTCCCAACCGCCCCCCCCCCCTCCCAACCGCCCCCCCCCTCCCAACCGCCCCCCCTCCCAACCGCCCCCCCCCTCCCAACCGCTCCCCCTCCCAACCGCCCCCCCCCTCCCAACCGCCCCCCCCCTCCCAACCGCCCCCCCCCTCCCAACCGCCCCCCCCCTCCCAACCGCCCTCCCCCCCCCCTCCCAACCCCCCCTCCCAACCGCCCCCCCCTCCCAACCGCCCCCCCCCTCCCAACCGCCCCCCCCCTCCCAACCGCCCTCCCCCTCCCAACCGCCCCCCCCCCTCCCAACCGCCCCACCCTCCCAACCGCCCCCCCCCCCTCCCAACCGCCCCCCCCCCCTCCCAACCGCCCCCCCCCTCCCAACCGCCCCCCCCTCCCAACCGCCCTCCCCCTCCCAACCGCCCCCCCCCTCCCAACCGCCCCCCCTCCCAACCGCCCCCCCCCTCCCAACCGCCCCCCCCCCTCCCAACCGCCCCCCCCCTCCCAACCCCCCCCCTCTCAACCGCCCCTGCCCTCCCCCTCCCAACCGCCCCCCTCCCAACCGCCCCCCCCCCTCCCAACCGCCCCCCCCCTCCCAACCGCCCTCCCCCTCCCAACCGCCCTCCCCCCCCCCAACCGCCCCCCCCTCCCAACCGCCCCCCCCTCCCAACCGCCCTCCCCCCCCCTCTCAACCGTCCCCCCCCCTCCCAACCCCCCCCCCTCCCAACCGCCCCCCCCCTCCCAACCGCCCCCCCCCCTCCCAACCCCCCCCCTCCCAACCGCCCCTGCCCTCCCCTCCCAACCGCCCCCCCCCTCCCAACCGCCCCCCCCCCTCCCAACCGCCCTCCCCCTCCCAACCGCCCTCCCCCCCCCCAACCGCCCCCCCCTCCCAACCGCCCCCCCTCCCAACCGCCCTCCCCCCCCTCTCAACCGTCCCCCCCCCTCCCAACCCCCCCCCCTCCCAACCGCCCCCCCCCTCCCAACCGCCCCCCCCTCCCAACCGCCCCCCCCCCTCCCAACCGCCCCCCCCCTTCCCAACCGCCCCCCCCCTCCCAACCGCCCTCCCCCCCCTCCCAACCCCCCCCCTCCCAACCGCCCCCCCCTCCCAACCGCCCCCCCCCCTCCCAACTGCCCCCCCCTCCCAACCGCCCCCCCCTCCCACCGCCCTCCCCCTCCCAACCGCCCCCCCCTCCCAACCGCCCCCCCCTCCCAACCGCCCCCCCCTCCCAACCGCCCTCCCCCTCCCAACCGCTCCCCCCCTCCCAACCGCCCCCCCCCTCCCAACCGCCCCCCCCTCCCAACCGCCCCCCCCTCCCAACCGCCCCCCCCTCCCAACCGCCCCCCCCCTCCCAACCGCCCCCCCTCCCAACCGCCCCCCCCCCTCCCAACCGCCCCCCCCCCTCCAACCGCCCCCCCCCTCCAACCGCCCCCCCCCTCCCAACCGCCCCTCCCCTCCCAACCGCCCTCCCCCCCCCTCCCACCCCCCCCCCCTCCCAACCGCCCCTGCCCTCCCCCTCCCAACCGCCCCTGCCCTCCCCCTCCCAACCGCCCACCTCCCAACCGCCCCCCCCCTCCCACCGCCCCCCCCCCTCCCAACCGCCCTCCCCCCCCTCCCAACCGCCCCCCCCCCTCCCAACCGCCCCCCCCCTCCCAACCGCCCCCCCCTCCCAACCGCCCCCACCCTCCCAACCGCCCCCCCCTCCCAACCCGCCCCCCCCTCCCAACCGCCCTCCCCCTCCCAACCGCCCTCACCCTCCCAACCGCCCCCCCCCTCCCAACCGCCCCCACCCTCCCAACCGCCCCCCCCTCCCAACCGCCCCCCCCTCCCAACCGCCCCCCCCCTCCCAAACCGCCCCCCCCCTCCCAACCGCCCCCACCCTCCCAACCGCCACCCCCTCCCAACCGCCACCCCCTCCCAACCGCCCCCCCCCCCCTCCAACCGCCCCCCCCCTCCCAACCGCCCCCCCCCCTCCCAACCTCCCACCGCCCCCCCCCCTCCCAACCGCCCCCCCCCCTCCCAACCGCCCCCCCCTCCCACCGCCCCCACCCCTCCCCCGCCCCCACCCTCCCACCGCCACCCCCTCCCAACCGCCCCCCCTCCCAACCGCCCTCCCCCTCCCAACCGCCCCCCCCTCCCAACCGCCCCCCCCTCCCAACCGCCCCCCCCCCCACCTGCCCCCCCCCAACTGCCCCCCCCCAACTGCGCCCCCCCCAACTGTCCCCCCCCCAACTGTCCCCCCCCCCAACTGTCCCCCCCCCCCAACTGCCCCCCCCCCACTGTCCCCCCCCCCCCAACTGTCCTCCCCTCCCAACCGCCCGCCCGGTACCCCGCTCCTCAATGCGTCTCCCAACCGTGCCCCTCATTGCCCACGTGCTCGCCGTGCGCGCCACGTGACAACCCAGTTCCCGCCAATCTCACGCTCTCCGATGATTGGCCGCGGGCTTCACCAACAGCGACGAGTGTTACTGGGAGAAAAAAAGTCATCCGGGCGTCGCTTTTTATTTCCCAGACTGCACCGGCAAGCGCCGAGAGGATCCCGCGATCCGATT